TGCATATAAATGGATCAAGCACTTGGCATCAGACATTGACAGAAATTGTCCAATGTGGCAATATTTCTAAGAGTAAAGAAGAGGTCTTCATAAACTTTTTCACATGACACTCAGTGAAGAGAGGATCATACTGTATATAACTCCCAAATTCTGGACAAGGGCTAATGCATGAGTGGGGAAGCCATCCACCATTACTGTTAAGCTCTCCAGCTTTTGCAGCTGACATTTCCAGGCCACTAGCAAAAGTTTTTGTTTTGTCACTAATTACAGTAGTTTCAAGGAAACTTGGAAACATTGAAAAACATTGAAAGTAACGTTTTTTTTACTTTCTGTAAGTAAGAATTCCATTGTACCAGTACCGGTTACATATGGCAATAAAGTTCAAGTTAAAAAAAAAACAGCAGACAGAGAGGAAATCCTTTAGCCAATAGACTTCTTAATGAAAGTCAGCCACATACAAATATAAGAAAAAATGTTTCTACATATCACAGATCTCTACTACTTCATTTAGCAGGACGCTAACGGTTAAGCTGCTGACTGAAACCCCTATCTTACGCACATAGAACTTGATACATTGGCCTATCCACAATGTGCTTTCAGGCCTGGATTAAGAAAAGACCTGGTACTTTTCCATGGCTGAAAGGCTTAATTTATAAATAGTTCAGCATTTGAAAAACGGAGTCTCACAAGTGCAGAGCAGTGGAATTGAGCCAAGGTCAATGCACTCATGAATCTGAGCAGGCTCTCATTAAGGAGGTCACATTCTAACTCAGACTGTGAAACTAGGCAAGTGTTATGATCTGTATTCCACTGTGTATATTCTATTAGACATATAGGCTATTCGATCCTGGAGAGTTTTACACCAATAACAATTTTCAGCAAGTAATAACTGTAGTAAATAAGGATATTTACTTTGCTAAAAACAATAAATAATGATTGGATTTTAAGGAAGTAATATTTCCACAAAGAAAAATCAGTATGAAAAGTACTCTTTAACATATGTACAACATACACTGTATGGCCTGTAATGTTATAGCAAACATTCTTAAGAGACAGCAGCCGAATGCTTTGGTTTAACACTTCGCACTTTGCACTTTGAATTCATAAAGCCTTAGCGGTTAAACCATTGAAACGCAATTCTGCAAATAATTTCTTCACTCACTTTCTTCTATCATGTGTTATCCCAGGCACTTAAAGACAACCTGACATTTTACGTTGAACATGCATGGTTGTGTCAGGTGATAGAAAGTAACTTAAGGAGTGTGCTTAGACCTTCAGTGATCCTAGCATGTAATATGTTAGCTCTGGTTTCAAGGCCTTGTGGTATATAGGGCAGTCAAGTAAATTTCCACTGAGGAGATTCTCATTTCTGTATTAACATGTTTCAGTACTGTTTCTCCAAGTGGAATTCACATACCCCACAGACATAAAAGTATGCATGACATACAAATGTTTGTGGGGTGGCATGCATTAGTATATGCTCTGTTTTTTAATCACAATTTTCATTTTCTTAATATGGATGGCCTATCCTGATCTCAGCATGCTATATTATTGATTGATCCAAGGACTCCTTCATGTCTGCCCATTAAACGTGCTAGGGAATCCAAATCCATACACCTTGTCCTACTTTCCATGAAAGGGAAATAGAAATTTGGAGTGAATTTGAGTTATTCTCTTGGGTTTTCATTTGTACAGTATTAGAAAGATCCTTATCCAGGTGAGGGACAAGAGCCTGTCCCAGGTGCACCATGCACAATCCAGGACTGAGACTATTCCTCTCTTCCTGAGCACTAGTCCATCACGTCTCGGGAGGCAGGAGGAGACTGGAGCACCTAGCCAAAGTACATGAACATGGGGAGAATATGCAGATTCCACCCAATCAGCCGCCGGAGACTAGACCCAAACCAAGGGCTTGATCTGTGAAGCTGAAGCACACTGCCGTCTCTCTCAGGATTGTGATTCTTTCATCTCTGAGTATAACGTTTTCTCAGAAAAGAAATGTGAACTCATACGCTATTGGACAGTACACTGTTGGACAGTCATAAATATTATCTAAAGGATGTGGATTTCATTGATGGCAATTCCTTTTTGTGCTGCCTACAGTTTGCTAAATCTCATGGCATCAACATTCTGCTCAGAATAACACGTAACCCACTTACTCTGCCAGCCATTCAGTTTAAGGTACCTCAGGGGCTCATATTGCAGAAAGTGGAAAAACTGATGTCATTCATAAATACAGCCAGAGAAGGCATTTTACTTGAGGAATTGATAGGCGTTTCCCATACTGAATGCTTCTCACAGAAGATCCTTCTTCTATCAGTAATGTATTATTGTGTTTATAGTGTTAGTTATATTAGAATGTTGCATCATTGTATTTTTAAACAAACGCTGCAAGTAGTCTACCTCACGTAGAGTGCACCTGAGCCTTGTGCTCCAGATGTCACTAGTTCCAATCTGGGCTCTGTCATTTCTGGGCAGTAAATTAGATGCCACCTACTGTAGAATTGCAGCAAAATCTGTCAGGTTGGTAGAACCTGGGTACCCTCGGTTTACTGTGCAACAGGCAACATGGGGGCTTCAGTCCTGACTTTCCTACAGGAGGATGCAGTGGCCTTGCAGTGTGTCAAATAGTGAGTAGCTCAGAGAACAGGGGCCAAAAACGTTATTGGTACTGTATGATTGACAAATGCCAGATTTGAGAGGGGGGAAATAAATTTTGATTTCAATCTAGTAAGAAAAAGTGGTCTGACGGTATTTGTGTTTTTAAAAGAGCCACATAGAAAGCATTGACACTACAGTGCTTAGCAGCAACCCGTTCTTTAAACATGAACTGTAGATGTGCCTTGGTAGATGGTACAGAACAATTGAGGGTATAATAAAGCATTATACTGAGAGCCTGTCAGCAGTCCAATGTTACAAATCATTGATAATATCGATATATTTTGATTTTTCAGACCAGATTTTGTGTTCATCACTAAGATACATTTTAAAAAAAGGAACCATCGATATTACAAAATCAAGTTCCAAACAATAATTCAGAAATGGAACAAGTAATAGGTTTATTCCATGCTGAAAAAAAGAAGAAAGAGAACACAACGTTTCGGCCGTGGAGCCTTCTTCAGGTGTGAGAGAGACAGGGCAGTAGGCAAAGGTAAAGTAGCTGGAGAACAAAGGTTGGGAGGGAGGAGGAGTGAGAGGCGGGAGCAGGGGACAGAAAGAGAGGCCAATCAAGAGGTGTGAAGTCAGAATGGGTGCAGAGAGGTGTGAAATGAAACTTCCAATGAATGGAGAAAATTTAAAAGAACAGTAATCTGTCGTTAAGGGAAGGGAGAATGTGTGATCCTAACTGCAGAATAATTTTAGTTTCGGTGGTCTTTCTGATGTATGAGTTCGGAAAACCGTCTTTGAGAACACAGACGGAGAGATTAGTGTGGTCGTGGCCGTCAGAGGTGAAATGAGAAACAATGGGCTTGGAGAGATCTTTAATCTTCACAGCCCTGACGTGTTCTCTGAAGCGGTCTCCGAGTCTCCTTCCTGTTTCTCCAATGTAGATGGCTGGGCATTTACTGCAAGAGATACAGTAAATAAGGTTGCTGGAGGTACAAGATGCTGTCTTGGTGATCCGGAATTGTCCTGAGGGGCCTTGAATGAGTGTGGTGGTGGCTGTGTACTTGCAGGTGATACAGCGAGCTCTGTTGCAAGGGAAAGTGCCTGGTGTGGATGGTTGTTGAGGGCGGTCAAGGGAGCTGTGAACAAGGAGGTTACGCAGATTAGGTGGTCGGCGATATGAGATGATTGGGCGATCAGAAAAGAGGGCCCCAATGGAGGGATCATCCTGTAGGATGGAAAAGTTGTGGTTAATGGTCCTGGGGATAGGAAGTGTGTTAGGGTGGTAAGGAAGCACCAAGGGAATGCGGTTGTTACGGCGGGAGTTCCTGATCGGGTTGATGGTCCGGGGGGTGTTTTTGGCTCGGGCAAGGGCCCTGTCAATCACACTGCTGGGATATCCTCTGTTGATAAAAAATGAGTACATTTCGAGGGCTTGGTTCTCGAAGTCGATGTTGTCGCTGCATAGTCGTCGTAACCTAAGGAACTGTGAAAAGGGAAGAGAGTTTTTAGTGTGGTTGGGGTGAAATGAGCTGTACAGGAGGTAGCTGTGTGAATCCGTGGGTTTGTAATAAACTGAAGTAGACAGTCGGGGGTAGTTGATAGACAGGTGGATGTCTAGAAACGGAAGAGTGGTGGAAGATATGTTAACCGTATATTTGAGGGACGGGTGGAAGTTGGTGAAATGGTGCAGGAAGAACTCAAGCTGATCGTTGGAGCATGTGGCGGCACCGACGCAGTCATCAATATATCGTTTGTAGAGGTCAGGGACATAGCCAGTGTAGGAGGCGAAGAAGCGTAATAATTCAGAAATGCCAGGTTCACCATATAAAAAAAAACTGAGGTGTAGACACTGAGGCTATCTCAGTGATTTTGATAACGTAACAACTCACAGATTTACTCTCATTTGTGGTCAAACCCAGAATAACAGCAATGACACTTCAAAAATGAGAATTTAATTGTTTTACCATAAATGGATATGAACATCTACTGTAACACTGTGTTGCTTTATCAGACGGTCCCAAACGATCTTTGGTTTTGAACAGGAAGCTAAAACTTCCTGTTCACGTATTTGAAGGTCCCAGTGCAAGCAATTTCCTAATGTACAGATTGATGCTGACTTCCTGTATTTCACAGTTGGTCTGGGTGCAGTTTTGTTCTGTGCAAAGTAAAATTGATCAATACTGTTTATGGAATATGATTAGAGTTTTAAGCCAATACAATATCATTTCTGAGTGAAAAGTATGTAGTGTTGGTGAAATGGCTCAGTAAAAAAGGTATTAGTGGTCTATCATTGAAGGCGTACAAGAGAAAGCATGGATGATTTAAGTCAGCACCTCTTCAAAAGAGAAAGAATGCAAATTCAAAAGGTTTAAGAAAATTTAATCAATTATTTGTACTGTGTTTTAGTGCCAGTTTGATGACAAAGAATAGCCATTAGGCAGATTTTGAACAGTCAGAATAAAATGGACATTTTCTAGAATGAGGAGCAAGTTTAAAACTACATTTGAGAATTCACTTGCGACATCATCGGTCTCAGAAGCAGCAACATCAGTTTCTTTTGCTGTCTATTGATCAGATTAATACACTGCTTATCCAATACACAGTGTACAGTTCAATTCCTTTAACTGAAGCTACGCGGTGTCAGGGGCAATATTGACAACAACCCACATTTCTTTATTACACCCGCTGAAGGAAGTTTTTAGGCAGTTATTAACAGAGACATTTAATGACTCATTCTGATGTCGTCTACTATGCACAACATCTACAAAGAAGGTCACATACAGAAACAACTACATTGAAATTAAGACATGTGTTGGCCTTCTTTGTTGTTTAGACTTTTTCCATAAACATTGTATGCTTGTCAGTCTCAAAACATCTGTAAAAGATCACACTGCCAATATGTAATATTGACATTATTGATAAAGACTAATGCTTGCCCAGCTGGGCATCAGAGCATGCACACATTAAAATGCTGTTGGAAACACATGGCACTACAATGCTGTAATTTGTGATGGGGGAAGGCAACAGAGCAGTTAAAAAAAAATCCAGTTTAAAGCCATCCCATCTCAATACTTTGTACGAAATTCTATTAAAACATAAGGATCACATCATGTATCTTATATATTGGCTTGTATTAAATTCTCAAAACTAAACATACATTTTCTAATTGCTTTATCCAACACAGGGTCATGGGGAATCCAGATATTATCCCAAGCAACGGGCACCAGGATATTCCTGGGAATTCCATGCATGCAAATGAAAATGAAACAATTAATGTTGCACGTTACACAATAAAGAAGCTAAGTATCCTTCACTGAAAAATAGCACTATTGTATTCGAATTCATTCTGCACATAACAAAGACATAATTGAAACATCAAAGTTTAAAAGTTGAATCTATTAATTTCAACATTATGGTTTATCATAGTTGAAGCTGTTTGCTTCAGCATTGTGCTTGCATTAGCAGAAATATGTACGGTATGGTGATATTCTGTGTACATCTTATGAACTTTAGCACGGAGTTAGTGTCTGCAATACTTCCTCTCGCACGGTTCCTGCACCACAGAAACGGAACCTTTAAATGAGAAAAAAAGTATATAGCTGTGAGAAACTAACAACAAAAACCTCAATTAATCCACTGGGACCTGCAATCAGCACACCAAGACCAGTGTGGCTCGGTTTGTGGATCTGACCAATAAACCTATTATTAATGTAAATCTGATGATTTGTGTGTGTGTGTCATCTCCCTTGCCTAACTCCAGGAGAAAGGATTGAAAGAGGTCTGAGGGTGAACCCTGGGATTTTATGCTATGGGGTTAAAACAATCATGTGATTTTGTGGGTACAGAAACATAAAAGATAACGTAACCATAGGGAATGAGCACCAGTTTCCACTGACCCAGGTCCAGGAATAGTTTTCAGCTGGTGATATTGATAGTGCTAGTCTTGTCCTTCAATTCTTGTCTCACAGCCTGCATGTGACATAGCCTTGGATACTTATCAACTACATATCACCAGACTTCAAGGTCCAGACTTCAAGGTCCTCTGGGAGAGGGCTTTTACTGAATGAGCCTGATCCAGTGCCTAAGCATTGATATTTAATATCATACTCACACTTTTCCATCCTTTCCCCTCTGAGCAGTCACTGTCTCAGCTCCAAGAGTGGGCTGGAGAGGGTTAAACAGACTGCTGTCCCACAGAAATTTCACATTAGTAAGGTCACCCAAATTAACCTCCACGTCAATTCCAGCTGTGTATGTTCCTGCTGGTTCAAGCTTCCCTCTATAATTAAAAGCACAGAGTTTTAATTAATTGAGAATAGGGTGCCCTTTTATACGTACATGAATACTAGATGTGGATGATAAAAGCTCAATTACAGTTCTATATAAATGGTTAAATGTTTCTGCTGGGCCCTTTGGGGCAGAGCGGTGGCTCTGTGGCCAAGGATCTGCGTCTGTGGCTGAAGGGTTGCCAGTTCCTGCAGCTGGCAGAGGAATCCTACTCTGTTGGGCCCCTGAGTAAGGCCCTAACCCCAACTGCTCCAGGGGTGCTGTATAAATGGCTGATCCTGCGGTCTGATCCCAGGCTTCTCTCTCCCTGTCAGTGTGTCTCATGGAGAGCAAGCTGGGGTATGCGAAAAGACAAATTCCTAATGCAAGAAATTATACAGGGCTCATAAAGTGATCTTTGTGATAGTTCAGGAATTTTTATGGCAGTGAAGTGAAAGAGGCAGGTTAGGCTGAAACACAGGTTTTCAACACCACAACAATCACACTTCTGTTAAATAAATGGATCAGATCCTCTTCTACTGCATATGTATGCTTTTCATTTTCTTACTTCACCCAGACACACCGCCCTTACTTCGCTATCCTTCTGCTTCAGTTGTGTATTGAGTGTGTTAATGCAGGGGCTCCCAGTCCTGGTCCTGTAGGCCCAACACACCTTTGTGTGTGTTTGTGCTCTAGTCCAGCTCTCAGTTACTCACACTTTTCCTTTGACCTTTAACTGACCTGTTAATAGCATTCATTCAAACAGTTGGTCTGCTTTCAGCTCATAGTCATGCTGGGGGTGGACTGTTAATCGTTGCATTTCATAAGTAAAATAAAATCCCAAGCCTCTGAGTAGAAAAAAGATCTGATAATATTTCAGTCAAGCAAGTTCTTCGCTCAATTTAGGGTTCAATTATGTAATTCAGCTCGGCTGGAATGAAAAACAGCAGGTGTGTGGGCCTCCAAGACCAGGATTGAGGACCCTTGTGCTAATGTACAGCACTATGTGATTCTTGAAAAATAGTTATTATTATGAAAAAAGCAGTTGTATTTGAAAATACACTTACAACATATTGGCAGTACAAATGTCTTTGAGTAAGAGGGAGAGTGAGAGAGTGGGAACGAGATACCAAAACTTGGACAAAGAGGACAAAAAAGGGTGTCAGAAGAAATGGAAATTTAGGAGATGGATTCTGGGGAAGAGAGGATATAAATGTATTTGTGAAAGAAATTAGTAGATCGTTGAGACCTGGCTTTCAGGTATGAACTGGAAAAATTTGGCTTCGGATGTTTTTCTGTGCTAGAGGTCTTGTTTTTCTAATCCTTAAGAAAGACCCACACACAAAGGTCAGAATAAACCATAACAGTGAGAGATAAAATGGGGCAGCCGTGTGTTTAGACATCTCGGATCATCGTTGCTCAAGCCGTCTTCTTTTCATTAACGGCCAGTAGGTGTCACTGTTGCCATGCGTTCCTCCCTTCACACAGATGGAAATTGTTCTCCTGAATGGGCAGTTAGTAAATATCAAGCCCCACTTACAAATACGTAAAGCACTTAGGGATCCTTTGGGATGAAAATGCTATATAAATACAATATAATAATATTTGACAGAATTTTCCCTTTCAAACCTGACTTCTGGTAATAGCACATTAATTTCCATTTAATATTAAAATACAGTATTATTAGTTATGGGCTTCTTAATAATACTTAAATTACCAATATCAGTACTGTAATAATTTAGAATGAATCTTGGCAAACTGAACTATTTTGGGTTTTATAACAGTAGAAAAGAATGTTTTTAACCAACTGTGCTGCTCTTTCCCAGATGTTAGATGTTCTCACTAAGAGGTACAAATAGTGCTGTGTCGATATGACAATGAAAATGACATAAGAAATCTGACCTGAAGATCTGAAGCCATCTTGTGTACTGCTCATTTGTGTATAGAGCAATGTTAATGAACCCGCTAACAGCACGGCTTCCCGATAGCTTTACAGACACTTTGTACCTCCACCCTGAGAGAAAGAAATATACAAAAAGCAGAAGTAATACATAAATGGCAAACACAATTCCAAAACAAAGGCCTTTTATGTTATTTTTATTATTGTCCCTTTTAGCTTTATAGAGAGGTGCTTACGTGCATAAGGTGCTGCGTCGCCAGTATTGAGATACAACATCTGGTTTATTGCACCAACCGGAGGGTTATAGGAATCAGCGTAGTGGCCCAGAACTGGGCAGCCACCACTTGGACACAGTATGCAGTTGCCCTGTGCAAACAAAATAGTGAGCATTTCTTTTATGTTAACACAAAATGTTAATGCTAGCTGTTCACGTCTTTACTTGTTTTAGTTATAGAAAATCCCCAATTCAGGGTGGCTGGTCAGGTCCTACACACCCGAAATGGCATCCATCAACCGTCTACCAGTACATAGACAGGGACAAACACTCTTTATACACAACATGTGCAAATTCAGGGATTCTATTACAGTGGAACAAGCAATAGGTTACTTTATTCCATGCTGAAAAGAGAAGAGATAAAACACAACATTTCGGCTGTGTTTTATCTCTTCTCTTTTCAGCATGGAATAAACCTATTACTTGTTCCTTTGTAGCATGCCGACCCAGCTACCCACCTGAACTACTCCATTCTATTACAGTTACTGATTAACACTCATTTGATTTCCAGGGTATTCACAATACTGTACCGGTCTTTCCAACAAGAGACTTGGTGGCCTCCCTTAACCATCCCATAAGCACTGTACCCCTCAGTCCAAATCACAGGGGACAGTCTTCCATACAGGTCTCAGATGATTAAAATACCACAATACGATTTTTTTGTTGTTATGAACTGACATTTTTACTCTTACTTCTGCATTTGTAAAGAGAAATGAGATGGCTAAAGAAGATAAACAGTGACATTGGTGATTTGTTTGGGCTTGGAAATCTGCGTGTCGTATTCCTTACATGTAATAACCTTAAATGTCTTAGCGATGTAAGATCCGAATACAAAATTGTCCATATTAATCAAAGAATTAGACCAGTAAATGCTTCAGTTAGAGCTCCGCTGCAATGAAAAACTGTAGACTCTGGGGTCACTAGGACTGCACTAGGAAACTCTGCACAAAACGTGAATATATAACCATGTTACTCATACATACACAGTTTTAATTCTGTGATGGCCATATAATATTGTTTTCATCTGTAACTTGTAACTCTCTTGGCAACTTAAGGAATTAACTGGAGAGTAGATAACTTGTTACCTTTCTCAGTGCTCTTACCTCCTGAAATTGCCCGTAACCAGAGCATGGATAGCCTATGAACCCATCTCTCTGTTTGATACTGTCAGTATAGTATTTGTAAGCTCTCAAATGGTTGCAAGCCACAAAATTACGAGTTCCTGAAAAGAAATACATTTTTTCCTGTGTGTTTTTTTTTATTTCTCACTATAAATGCACAGTGATTTAACAAAATACTGCTTTGTACATGATATCATGAAGTAATGACCAACTATTAAAAATTGATGTCTTTGGTTATTATGAGATAATTCTGTGGAAATAAAAATAGAATTGTGTTGCAGATGAAGATGAAATCTTATTTGTCATCAAGGAGCATTCTATGTAGCTGTTCCACTAAGGAAGAATGGCATTAAAGGGTTTCTATTACTAAAACTGGGTTTGCTTGCCTGTGCCAATAAACACAACTGGAAATACTTACTGTAAAATAAATTAGATTTTAAACTACATACACAGGGCTAAAGCAATTTCTGAGCGTTTCAAGCAATATAACCTGTAAAGTAACCAAGGGAACATACCCTCCCAGATTCCATCAATATCCACAATTTGAGAAACCAATCCAAATCCAAAATCCAAAATTTGGGAAACAGCATTTTTGTTGCATCCTGGCATTTCTTCACCACCATTTGGATAAAAGTCAACATGACCGACAGCCTGAATCATTCCAAAACCTGAAATTAAAACGCAGAAGATTCTGATTTTTTTTTTAGGTTACAACACTCCAAAGCATTTAGATTCCAAACATGAACATTATACTTTAAAGTATGTTTACAGTAATTCTGTACAGGATATAAACCCAAACTATTAATCATCCTTTATGAAGTGTCGTTAGATGTGCGGTCTTACAGGTAAACACATAAAGGAAGTAGAATTCAAAGTGAGTTGGGCAGACCAAACTGTTTGAATGCCCTCCAGTCTTTATATACTTGACACTGAAAGCTAAAATAAAAGAAGGCAAAATTGCCCATGGTTCACGAAACCTATAGCTGAAAAACAACACTCTCAAGCTAAATGTAATTGAAATTATTGCTCATTGGTAAAAATAGATCTCACACGTATGCCAGTTCATTGCTATTTTGTTTAAAAATATATAATTTCTGTGCCACAAAATATAAAATAAAAAATCGACATAGTTCCACAAATAGTTATCTCCTAAAACAGCTGCAAAATGTCAAAATAATTAAAGCCCACAATTATATTAACACGGATGTCTTCACTGAACCTTCAGCCAGACGCCATCAACTTCACATTACTTACATTTTAATACACTGTTATCTGTGTGGAAATCTCTAGGGTGTGGTTCAAAAAACTTTTATTTCCTTTCCAGTCCAATAAACATGTCTGATTACTAGATAGCAAGAGACTATTCTTATTTTTTTAAGTGAGCATTAGGTTTTGCAGTCTGTGCTTACTTTAAAAAAAATGTTTTTTATTTGGGCTGTTCTTCTAACATTGTGACCTAAAACAAATGTTGCATTGTGTTGTGACACTAAAAACAAACTTAAAGTAAAATATATTTCTGTATAGAAATCTAACCGTGTGGACTGGGATATTCCTTAGCTGGAGCTCTGATGTAGAGAGTGCACAAATGTCATTAAATAAATGCAAATTCCACAAAGAATGTGTGAGGTAGGCCCACCTCCACATCTTTCATTGACTCAGCTCCCTTGCTTTGCCAAACCTAATGCCCAATTGTGTGTTTTAATTGTGATTTCAGCATTAATTAATTAAGTGGTGGATGCAAGGAGACCCCACGAGTCTTTGCAACGTGTCCCAAATTTTAAAGTGTTCTTGCTCCCAGGCAGGCCGTCTGATGTTTCCAATTTGCATTTTGCAAAGGATGATGGTTTTAACAAAAAGCAAAGTTCATTGGCTCTCCTGTTCTCTCCTTACCAAGGTTGGGAACCATTGGGGCTGCGTCTGTGTGGATGACATCCACAAAGGCAGCGTCACTGGGATCCAGCCTGACCTCGATGGGAGTATTCTGGAAGTATGGCTCAGCAGGATCAAGGCCTGGAATAAAGAGAAATAAAGGGAGTTTCTTTCTGTGACTGTGCCTCTCCTAGGCATTACTGGGATTCTTAAGCTATGAGAAATACAGTTGTGTATATTTATGTTTGCACTGAAAAGGAGTAAATACACATGCTTGTTTTTTCTGTAGCTTTAGGAAAAAAAGATCTTCAAAGCCCATTTATTGTTTGAAGCATTGATACTGCAATGCAATGTAAGGCGAAATCTGGAAAGTCAATTCAAGGTGTAGTCAAGACCTGTCCATTTTCCTTTCTGACCTGTTATCCTGGAGATTCCCGGCTTCCTCTTCCCAGCCTCTCCAGCAGCATGTGCCCCCAGGCTGTGGCCAATGATATGGATATTGGCTGGATGATAGTTAATCTGGGTCTATCATGGCAAAACATGAAAAAATAAACTATGGATGCAATATTAATCTTTTTTAAAATGAGCTAAGCAAGTCATTCAGCACCCTTTCCATCAATAATTAGTGTATTAAGCCTATTAAAATAATTAGGCTGTTATTTCAGAACACAGTTAATAATTTCATGCTAAAATACATATAATAATGTATATTTGTAATATACAGTAAGTAAATATTTTATATAATAGTACTTGCCACTTTTCACAAACAAGAGTCGGTAAGTTTCTAAGTGGAAATAGGAATAATGGATGTTGAAGATAAAGCATATCAAACATTGAACTAGAAAACACTGAATCAAAGGAAACATGAAAAACAGAATCCGAACTGAAAACACACAATACCGTAGCTGATAAATGGAAAAGGAAAAAACAGCTATCAAGAATTTTTTACTTTCTTCAATTGATATAAAAGGTTAGTAGCTAAAACAGTAGTGGTTTCTCCTGCAGTGATTGGCTCATACACCCTTGTGTGCACACAGTATAAGGATATGCATACATGAAGAGAAGAAAAGATGACACAACCTGCAGGACTTCTCCAAAATATGCAACTTCTGCCCCGACTACACGGATATTGTTGGCAGCCTGTGTGTATGGACATCTTGAGCCACCTTTCCAATCCACACAAATACAGTTCACATCTTCCACCTGGAGCATCTCCTAATAAGTTCCAAAACAGATATCTTACAAAGAAAACAAAACCATGTCATTATTATTATGACTACTATTATTATCGAGACTTACACTATTGATCTACAGAAGACAAAGCAGTGAAAGAAAGAAAAGAACAATAAACATATATAAATCAAATACATATAACAAGTACAAGTGTCATGCAGAACAGTTTCATCTATATGCAGGACCATGCCTGAGAGCAAAGCTCAGTCTGAACCAGGGTGGTTTTTGGCGCATGACCTCTATGATCATTGGTTTGATCCTGGGCCGCGTCACTAGCCTGTCATGACGGTGACCAGGTTTCCCTCAATTCTGCTGTGGGGGAGAGCTGCTTGACAGCTTTGCTCCAGCCAATGCTGAACTTCCTGCAAGGGTGCAAGAGCCTGTGATGTATTAAATGTCAAGTGGCTCCGAGGTTGGCATGTTGGAGGAATCTGACCACACACACTCATTCTCCCCTGTGTGCGGTTACGAGGTTCGTAGCTACAGTATGTGCTGAGATGCGAAAAGCACACAATCGGTACAATTGGACATACCAAATTGGGTCAGTATAACAAAAATAATTGGCATTTATGAATTTATGAGGAAGCTATTTTAATTTTACCAAGCACATGTCAGTTACCCAGCCTTCCTCTCCCTTGTCAATGAAGCCATGTATGATGAATCGAGTTTTTCGGTTGCTCCTGAAGTTAGAGGCAGAGATAGTAGATGGATTGATGGCTGTAATGTCCTGTTCATTGAGCAACACATAAACATGTTAGACTTTGAGCCACATTGTGTAAATATGAAGAATATTTTCATTTAAACAGAAAAAAGCCATGCAATGGACAGATGTCCTGTCCAAGGTGTAGCCTTGCCTTCGTTGCCCTATTCTTCCGGGACAGCCCTCACCAGGAATAAATATCTTTCTGATAAAACATCCATTCATTTTCAAATCTCAATATGCAACAGGCTCAAGGCAGGATACTGCCTGGACAAGATACTAGTCCATAGTGGGGCAGACAGAAAAACAAACATGCACGCACTCGCACCATCGCCAGTCTTCCCAGAAGCCAATCATAGATAGTTAATATTATTTTCTAAAATATTTCACTTTAATTCTGTGTGTTATTCAGCTGTTTTCTCCGCATAAGTTTGAATGAGTGGAAATTTTGTTCTTTCTTGGTAAAGAATTTAAACTGTTAATCATCAGAAATGACCAGCTAACCTTGAAATCTTATGAAAACCTTTTGTCATCTGACTGATATACTATGCAGCATTAGTTTTGAAATCTATCACTTTTAGTGCAGAATGTACATACTATATGCAGTAGAGCATCTAAAACACATGAACGATGAAGAATTCATATGAATTTTCAGTGGGGAAGACATTATTTAAAATCTTTTCATATTGTAGATGCACATGAATGGAAAACTCAGAGAAAATGTGGGAGTGAATTACAGTAGGAACACCTGAGAGAACAATAAAAATCTATTTAAGAATTGCTTTTTAGAGATGTTTAAGTATTGTGCCTTAGATCCAGGAGAGGGAGCTCTTATTCTTACAAATTTACTACAGTTTCTGTGCCTAGCTGTACGTGAAGGAGTGTATGTTGATGATTCTGTGTAGAAGACATATTACATATGGACTAGTTCAAGATCATTAAGATAGGAGCAGCAACATAAATGTAAAATTTAGATACCTTAGAAAATAATTTGTCATCGTTATCAATATGTACAGTTATTATTTTTCGTTTTACCAAATATATTCGTTCAAGATTTAACCAGGCTGGATGTCAGAGATAAATACTCAGAAATTATTTTGACATAGCAGTTGTTTGGTTGTAAACTAGTAGCTTAGCTACAAAGTATAAGAGAAACTGGTGTGAAAGAGACCGAATTCACCTGGAATGAATTTGAATTCTGCCTGGTGAAGAGGAGGAAACGGGTGTTGATTCTCTCGGGGCTCCAGGGCAGCTGAGAAATGTCCCTCTCAACAGTTCCTGCCCAGGGCTTGTCATTTCCAAAACAGCCGAGTCTGTCGTAACAGACTTCGGCCCCTAGGTTTGATCAAAACAATAATTATTTGTAATTGGTGAGAAAGATATAAAAAATGGATACACTCTTAACCATACCTTTCCAGATGGCTTTTTGGAGATCATCATGTGTTTTAGCAACATAAATAAAACTGCTATTCGTCACACATCTCAGGGTTGAAGTAAAGCACCACTACCAATTAAAAACCTCAAGACGAAAGTCTTTATTTAAGGCAGCAAAGATTATTTGTATAGGCCTCTTTTTCCTCAGACTTCAATCTCCTCTTCAGGCATAGTTAAATAACAAACATATCTCAGATTTTCTTTGAATGGGTTTACAAAGTTTTTTTACAATGTTTTGAACCAAATGTTAAACAAATGTTAAAGGAGTTAAAATACATACCTTCAACCTGACTGGTTACTGCACTGCTTTCACACACTTGTTTGCAAACAAAAGAGTATGTAAGTCAGCTAAGAGAGATTGGAACCTGTTACATACTGTAAACACACTGTTGTATTTCAAAATACAAAATACATTTTTTGTGCTTGAGGCCTGTGTGGTGTAATAAGGGATCAGAAAAATATTTTTAAAAGAACAATCATTATTTGCCTACAGTGGTTTACAGCAATGGTAAACAAAGGAGAGTTTCCTATGCTATAGTGACCTTCTTTAGAAGATTTATTTACCTGTTGCTGTGGCAATATAAATTGCCAGAATGGTCCATCGTACAATCATCTGGAAATTAATAATAGAGAATTAACTTCATTTGGAAAACAAAGGATTCTGCAAAATAAAAAATACTAAAAGACGTCATCATGTAGATTCTTACCTTTGAAGGATAGAAGGGTATACTGTCAGAATTGTTAACTTTTATACTTTTTTATCTACAAAGATAATCATTTGCAAAGGCAGGTTTTCCATTGCTAAGCAACTACAGATACCAGATAGAATGATAATCCTATCTTTGCACAATCATCAAGATCAAGAAATAGGCAAGGTTTTTGATCAGTTAAAAGGACCTGGGAGATCATTTTTCTCAGGTGTCATAATGTGAATTTGCAATGCAGGCAAAATACTTTTAAGATCTTTGGACATTTATCATATTTTATGGCAAACCTGCTGGAACGTTCATCAGCTGGAACACTTCCACAGGGATTTGGTGTACTCCCACCAGCACATAAGAGATCAGAGCTCTTCTCACAGTCAGCTGGATCACTTCTCACTGATAGTTCTATCAGAAACATTGGTGACTGTCCAGTTTTCTGTGCTTTGTGAGATTTGCACATTCTCAATTCTCTCTTTCACACCCACCGACCCTTATCTTCATGAAAGTTTTCATCAGATCAGCAGTTTCCTTGAGAGACAGCAAAGATAAAGACAGAAAAGTTGTACGGATTCTCGCGTTTATGTCCCTTCTGAAATCTCTGACCCTCCTGCTTATGTTTTCACCTCTTTTTTCTATATAACTCCCAAATCTCAATGAACAAGATATGCTGTTAGGGGGTATTCCCTTGCAATCTACCAAGAGCTTGTCAGGAGAAGCTTATGGAAAAGGAAATGGCATGAGTTGAGGAAATGTATTATGTGTACCTCACTGAACTGCTATAGAATATAATTTTAATCTTTATTACAATAGTCCTCTACATGGCTCACAGGGGGGGAAAAAACAGATTCAGCCAACAGTATCTTTTAATTACCATGGAGGTTTCGATAAAAAAAAGTAAATTATTCAACATTCTGTTAAAATCAAAGAATAAAATACATTTTCCAACTCTTCCAACTCTTTGTTTTATGTAAAGTAAATGTGTCAATTTAGGATTAACGCTTATTGTTTTGCATTGGCTTTTAGTGACCTTTTAAAAACCTTTAACTAAATTGTGTTTACCCATTCTCCAAAGTCATTAGCTAAGGAAACTGCAAATCGGGAGTGTACTGTTTTTTTACAATTATACAATATTATGTTACTGGACCCTCTGGTGAACTGGAAAGTATAATTGCCTATAACACAGTGTGACATGGTAGTATTTCTTACCTTACAACTTCTTTACCTTAAAACAAAGCGTGTTTAGAGTGGTTGTGAAATGCAGCCCCACTGGGAATTTGTATCGCTATGTTAACTTTTATGTTTCTGTCATTCATGTTATTTAAGGCAGAAGCGTACTGCCCCAGTCCTGGTATGTCTGTACAGTTTTCCTTTTAGCTCAGCTCATGTTTTATTACCCTTAAATCCCAGTGAAAAAACTGCGTAAATCTAATCCCACTCTGCCTAGACGTTTTACACGTCATCTAATAAAGTAGCGGGCGGATGGCGGCAACCATATTTATTTTTTACTGGCGACTAAGCATCCGTTGCAATAACTTTCGCAGCGAGATACACCAGCGAAAACTACAAATTCCGCAGCACCGCGCAATAGCGCGCCTGCGTAAAACATAGCCCTGGTTTGTAAGAGACACCGCTGAACCACACCTCCAGAAGGGAGGTGGCTTGGAGCATCTGAAATACTAAACCAGCAACGAGCCCAAGGGGAGGAGGATGTAGTGAGAAATACAATAAATAAATTACTGTATGAGAGAGAGAGGAAAAAAGAAGAGCCTCCTAATGAAAGGTAGAAAAAAAAGCACGAGAAAAGGCGAAATCAGATTAAACGTCGGATGAAAGGAAAACGCTTATAGTTTTTCCTTGCATTTTTTTCTTTCCTAAGGAAAAGCTTTGGAAATACATACCGTATCCCTCTGCAAAACCTGCCTGGCGTCCCCCTCCCCTTTTTAAACCTTTTTTTTTTATTTTTTGAGGCTGTCAATGGAGCTGGAGAATATTGTTGCTAATACAGTCCTGTTGAAAGCCAGAGAAGGTAGGGAGGTTTGAAATTATACGTGGCTTGTTAGAATTCTAATGTCCTGTTAAGCGAGGTGATGCCGCTCATGCTAAGAATGTAGCAATAGCACAATGCTTAGCCATTCCCATAGCTGAACGGTTTTTCTGGGAACGCATTTATTTCCATATTATTCTCTGCCAGCGATATGCCAAATTGCTCAGCATTGATGGCAGAATAACAATGATTTTCCAAAAAAAAAAAACAAGAGGGGAGTGGGGGGAGATTACATTTGTGTGTGAGGTTTCTCCTAATAACAATGTAATAATCGTCAGTTTTCAAAGGAGATTTTTGTGCTCTTTAGCACGTATCCTGGGAGTAGGAATAGACGTATTATTAGTCTGACGTTTGATTTAATATTCACATTTTGTGTTTCACGTCTTGTATTTTGGAACCTATGAAGCATTTAATGGTTAAATATCCCTAAAATATATTTTGTTACCTTCATGTATTAAACTTATCGTTTCTAAATGCTTTTTTTGTTATGTAATCTCGATTTCAGTACAGAATAGCTTCAAAAGGCAAAAGACTCGGCTCTTGAACAATATACCTAATTATTATGTGTGGTTTTTACTGTATATACAGCGGTTTCCCTCGATGTGATTGGGTGTGATGTGTGCATTGGAGAGATCCTATAAGCCCCAGGTGACATAAACGCTGCAAGTTTATAACGGGAATGAGTTGTCAAGCAATATATGTGAATTTGAATTATTTGTCAAGCCATCCATTATATATGCGTGTTTGTATTCCTTGAGAGAGAGATTCTTATCTATTGCCATATTCATATCTATACTCTGTAAAATGACTGTCAAACTAAACTTGCCAACCTGGAAAAACCTCAGCATCCTGGTCCATCACCATTAATGTTTAATATCCCGAAGGTAACCATACCAAGTAGAGTATTTCATACATTGACACACTGAAATATGTAAATGACTGCAGTGCTAGATAGTCAACTTTTGAAGCAGTAAACAATTTGCTGTATTTTCATAACTAGGCTGGTTTGTTTGGCATATCTACATAATTCATAAATTATCTAAAAAAGCTGCCTTAGAGGGAATGTTATTTAATTTCCTCTGTGGGAATATTTCGTATATGAATGTTTTTAAACCACTATATTATGTTAAAGAAGGCAAGGGTCACTTAATTGTGTAGTCTGCTTCTACAAGCATGCTACTAAAATTCTACAACAACCTTAAAATTCATGTACTGTACTCTACTATGTGCAGAGTTCTTATTTTAATACAGATATTGTGTAAAAGCAAGACTGTAACAATCCAGTTAAATAATTTAGATGATCCTAAATCTTTGAAAGCATGAAACCAAAGATGCTTTGGTACTATACCGGGATTATCCACTATTGTACCATGCATATGGAGTTTTTCTGTTCATTTTGGCCTGTGTTGCAGCCTCTCTCAGATCATAAAGCCTTTGATTTGAATTAATCAAGGTAATCATATTGTTCGTATGATTTGTTCTGGAAACATTTATCATTGCTGATGTTTCATGCAGGTGGATATACTATTAATAGGCAGGCCTGTGTTGTGCAGAACTTGGCTTTATTAAAATGAGCAACAGATGAAATAGTGGAATTGTTCTTTTTTCCCCCAAAATATATATGCTTGCACTTGATGTATGTTATTTTTGCATGACTAGCTGCAAAAGTTGTAAATAAAGTCTGTACTCAAGCCTAGCTGTCCCACAGGCCCTAGCTGCAGTTTGGGGTAAGTGGAGCATTTTGGGTACCTTGCTCAAGAGTACAAAAGCAGTGTCTTGCATTAGGGACCCAAACCCATAACCTTACTGTTAAGAGCCCTAACCACCACACAGACCCTCTTGCAGATGCAGTTGTGTTTGTGGCTTATGTGTTTTGTCCTTATACTGTTTTTCACAGTTGCATTATCTGTATGTCAAGGCTGCTTATTTTGTAAAGAGCCATTGATGTCATATCACCATTAGTTTAGGCTTCAGTGAATTATTCCAGTTTCACAGGTTTTCTCATGTCATTCTTGGGTACATAATGGTGCATTTTGGGCCCCCTGTGTTTACAATGATCCACAATTGACATTTTCTTTACGAACAAAATAAAATCTACGCCAGCAGAGTATTTAATACCAGACTCATCTAAGATGAAAAGGGCGATTAAACATGAGAGAAGAAAGGTTAAAAAAGAGAGGAGGCCATTCGTCCCATCTAGTAAGTTTCTTGCAGAAGGGAGTTTCTTATTTTCCGTATTTGTAGCAAGATGATGCAGGAACCTCAAGTTGTTTCTTGAAGCAGTACACAGAATTAACTTCAACCACACTAAGTTCTGGTGGGTTGTTCCACGACACTTTGTGTTCAGAGGTGAGGAGTATGGATGGGGGCGCTCACTGTAAAATGATGATTTGAACAATCGTGCATTTGGTTTGAAAAAAGAAGATTATGCTATAAAATAGCTGGACCCTTTTCTTTGCTTTAGGTGGAGGAGGAAAACGGAAGGGAAAAAGCAAGAAGTGGAAGGAAATCCTAAAGTTTCCACATATAAGTGAGTGTGAAGAGCTGCGCAAAAGTATAGGTAAGCTTGTTAAATTTGGAGCATGTTCCATCTCTCAGCAGGTTCACAAAATGTCCAATTGTAATGGCAGTTTCAGAGCTTTCTCTGGGAGGTTTGGAAAACAGCCTGTGCTGGACATAATTGCAAGCAACACTGGCTTTCCAAAATATTGTCGTTTGTGAATGAAATAGCTAGAGTCTGCAAAAAGGAGAGACACAATAGCCATGCTGCATACAAAAAATGGAAAATTGCATTTTAATGAAAAAACAAACACCACGTATGCACCAAATATTTCATCAGTATGTAAGGACAACAGTTGTCTGTCGAAAGATGTTCTGACTTAACCCTTGCTTTTTCTAAGATAAGGTTCATTGCAACAGCTGACTAAATAGCCTTTTAATCTCAACCTTTTTTCATAAGGCATTTTTTACACTTGCCTTGCATCTCTCATTAGGGAAAGTAAACAAGAGGCAGCCGGAACTGAAAACTACACTCACAGTACTGCTATTCAGTTCATATGGAATGTAGCGATCATTTACAGCCAATTTAATCCTAGTCCATTTCATCTGACTTTAAAATGTATTTGGGATAATATTTAGGACGTTTGAAGGCAAATTTAACACCTTCATGTTACTTTTGTTTTTTTACGTTAGATAAAGCCTATGTAGTATTAATTGTATTTTCCCACATTTCAGAGTTAACTCTTCATTTACTGTAACCCAAACTAAAATATTCCCTTCAGGTGCAAATAATTTTCTTTTTTGAATTTTCAGGACACTTGTGCCTACTTGGCACTGGAATCCTGTATTTCTGTCTGCCTCTGAGTGTCTGTTAGAGCATTTTAGCTGTTTTTATATATTCTTGGTGTTGCTAATCTTAACTGTAGGTCTTCTCATTGGCTTTTAGCTGCCTCAGAATCACTTAGTGTAATACCTTAATGGAATTCTAGCAGTTTATCCTTGATCCTCGGCATTCTTTACAGGAGCAAAGATTCCACAATATCTTGTTTTGTTTCCCACTCATTTGTTTCTGTCCCTGATTTGTGTTTCAGCATGTCACTTCAGGAGGTGTCAGGTCTGCTCTATTTCCAGATTATAAAGCACACTGTGTACAACATTGCATTTTATTCAGCCTGTTTCTGCCAGGCACAAGTCATTTAGAAGACATGTTCAGCGGAATTATGCATGTTTATACTGAGGAGAGACAGAAAGAAAATTTAAGTTTAAGTGAGAAGAACTAAATGTATATATGAGAGAAAGATCCAGAATGATATACTTCAATTGAAGAAGTTCCTGTTTGATGTTTTATAGCCAATGCTTTTTGTGTTTTTAATCAAAGGTTACATATGTGACTCTCCACGTTTCTGTACAGCTACTGGTATGGTCTGTTTAACATGGTCTGTAATTGGTGTAATTGGTCTTTGTACATTGGTAATGAGGGCGTTCTCTCATGTCTACAAATAATAGTTTTACGTCATCTTATTGTTGAATGTACTTTTGCTTTAAGCAGAGGTGTTTACTACTGGTGTATTTTGCTTTTAGTGAAGGATTTAGCTTTCATTAATACTTATGTAACTGTATTAGATTTGCTGTGTTCGGAGTGACATAAAGTTTAAATGTGCCTTTTTTGGAAAGACACCTCAAGATCTTTAGCTTCAACTAAACAATTTTACTCTTTTACATTATTTACAAAGTTAGAAATTTGCATAGATAAGTAGCTGCATAAATAATCTTTAATGACATATTGTTGCTGTAGTTCGAATATTTGTATTGTCTATACCTGAAATTACATGGTTTTAAAAGAATACCCAAACCACATGTTCCCTTTACACTATGAATAAACAATCAGCTGTCCACTGGATGTACATTTTGAGACCACTTAGGAACATGCCTGAATATAAAAAAGAACCTGAAATGTAGAAGAAGTTATAAAATACTGAACATTACATCTAGAAAATTGAGGGTAGAAACAGAAGGTGTGTTGTGAGAGTCATTATACATATTGTATTGCTTGGTAGACTAGGGCTTATACAGATCTACAGGTATATGAGCTCTGGCCTGCATTTAGTTGATCCTATGGCCATCCCTTGCAGTGATGAAATTGCGGATGTTCTTTTGTAGTGTTCCAGACGTTTCAATGTCTCACATTAATCTGAGCACCACCGGTCCAAGTTCTGGGATTGGCATCTGAACAGGCTTAATTCTCTATTTGATCATCCACATCAGCTTGCCAGTACTGTGCAGAACATTGTACCACATTATAAATGTTTCTCACTTCCAAATGACATAAGACAATGATCATTTTAACATTATAATGCTCCTGAGTCTCTGTGTCTCTATCTTGGATACTTTGGACCCCTTTCTGTGCAATGGTCTTGTGTTTATGGCTGTAGTACACCATACCTTGCAACATCTCAGCTTTGGATAACACACCATAAAAGCAAAATCTAATTACTGTGAACATTTAGAGTTTCAATGCATATTCTGAGTTATACAAAATGCAGAGGTATTAAACTTAAAATTGGAGCAACTGGATCATAGTTTATGATACAGGTGAGTGTTTTTTTCCTGTTTATATATTGTAAACATTTATATGCCTGTGACATTTAAATTGCTAGTTTAATAAGTAAAATATCCTGAAATATAATTACACTACTCCTTTAATTGTCTCAATCTTTGTTTTCATTTTCTTTCTCTCAGACAGAGAGTACTACAGCTTGTGCTACAGACAGCCAATTGGCAAGCTACTCTTCCGCCAGTTCTGTGAAACCCGACCAGAATTTCAGCGCTGTATAAAGTTTCTAAACTCCGTGGTAAGTACAGCGTGCCCTGGACCAGATTTTACAAAGAGTTTTCTTGCCATTAACGTTGGTAAATGTGACTGTTGATGCTAGGAAACCAGTGGGCTCTCCATGTTTTGCAACAGGAGTCAAGCTACTGTAGCTCCAGCTGTGTCTAAATGAAGCCTTAAACCTGCTTAGTTTAAAAGTTTAATATTTTTAAATGTGTTAACCCTTTCTTCACGGTGAAAACAACTTTAGCATTATGGGCTTATAAATGAACTTTGAATGTAATCTATAAACTCAAATTATTACCTGTTATTTTCACACGAATATGTAAACATCTAAGTGATGCATGCTAGGCAAATTTATAGTTTTCTTTTTACCTTCAGGTAATTCTATTTTCATTATTTATTTATTTTTCCTCAGGTAGAGTATGAAGTTACCCCAGATGAGAAGTTGGGTGCAAACGGAAAGGAAATTATCAGTACATACCTCAGTCCAGAGGTAGGATGTCTCAAGAAGCAAGTTTTTTAGCTCGGCTAGACATTTTTCATAAAGTGGAATGAGCAAGCCAGATGCTGTTTTGTGCTAAACAACTGTATCAGCATAAAACACAAAACACTTATTTTTTTAATCATGCTTATCATTTAAATCAAGAAAACAGTGTTTGTTCATTAAATATCCACACTGTACATTCTGAGGAATACTCTTTAAAAACAGTGTTTTGTTTTGAGGTAAGCTACATGCTTAATTCTGAATCCTAAAATCAGTTATCTATTTTTAAAGACTTGCTTTTCAAAATAAGTGGTGGGTTTTGCAGCGACCCATGAAGAAAACAGTTCAGTGACATACTGTAGGATGGGGGCCACCGCTTCAAATTAGTACACTTGCAAAAATTTTCAAAATGCAAAGAGCCCATTTGAGCTACCGGGTAAAGTCTACCCCCTTCCACATGATGTTCTTTACAGTATTTAGCCCTTTGGATTACTCACCTGTACGGTGCTTTGGGAAACCATCAGTCTTCCCAGCTCTCCCTTGTGTGCCTCTAATTGCAGCTACAAAAGGCAGTGCAGGTGTTTTTCTGTCACCCTCCATTGTCGCATAAATTACCCAGTTGTGGCGCAACGGAGCTGCCCTGCTCCCCTGAGTGTTTATTAATGTGCAGAACGTTTTTAATTAGAAAGATGTCCTGTGTGATTATGTTGGCAATGCGTGCAACTCGCAAAAAGGCGAGGCAGTATTTTCCCCTGTGCTGCGTGTGAGAACTTTTCTTTTTTACAGTTTTATTTTTCTCCGGTGCACGTTTCTTTTCCTGTGTTTATGCTTTCGCTGTAGATGTATTTTTGCCTTTATCGTGATAGGTCTGTCAAGTTGAGATACCTGGTACATTACATTTTCTATTTCTTCTCTCCTCTCTTTTTTCCTCCAGTCTTCAGATTACATACCAGAAATAAGTTTAGACCTCATTAATGAAACAAAAGAAAAACATGAGCTCAGCCCCTGCAAGGAGCTGTTCTCTCACTGTGTGAAGTAAGTTTTTTATTTCATCACCCTATAGCCAGTGATATATGAAAACAAAATAAGTTTAAAATGATCTCTGAGTGGTTGAAAGAAAGACAACACGTCAGTCAGTTTACCCATGACTGATAATCTTATGCTTTTTGCTTTCATCTTTGTCTTATGGGGAGTCTGTTACTCCCAGTGAAGAACTGAGTGTTGCACTTGGAAAGTTTTTCAGATTAGCAGACTAGTATAATCATCTTATTGCTGTATGTCTGCAAAGGGAACTTGAACACAAGCAAGTGAAAATATTGTACTAACATTAGATGATACGTTTCTGTTTATTTACCATAGACCAGGTTTATGTGCATGTACTAGAACAGAATAAAACATGTGGGTAAGAATAGTTATTGGGTTTGAGGTCCGCCATGATACAGGATACTTACACTAGTGCTGGAAATGCAGCCCAACATCTCCCATCTCCTTTTATTAACTTGTACATATTCTTCACATAATGTCTATGTGTTTATTCATCTGCTACTCATACAGTATGTGCTTTTTAATATAATATTGTAATAAATAATATCCTGTTAATGTGTGCATACAAATTTACTGCAAATCAAAATGTTTCACAAAAACATACAAAGAGGTCTAGAGCTCTAGGAGTCTGTGAACCTACTATACAGCAACTGATCCCCTTGTATGCCACCATCTGGAGTCAGATTCTGTGTATGCCATTGTAACGTGTAAGTGGAATTTATTTCTCAACCAGAACAACTGTAAAATGTGTTCTCTTAAATCATCTTAAAATATACAAAAAACCCTGTGATTTATTGCTGGTGTTTTTCTTGAGACAGATCTGTCCAAGACTACCTGAGTGGGGCTCCATTCCAGGAGTACCAGGAGAGCATGTATTTCGATAGGTTTCTACAGTGGAAGTGGTTAGAAAGGTAGGTCATGTGTCCAAGGACTGTTCATCCTCATTGTAAGGAAAACAGTGGTGTTCATGAAGAGGTAAACGGAAGACCATAAAGCTGTGTGACCACATACCACTGTCATTTCCTTCTTTCACACCTTTTTACTGCCAAATGGCTTGTGATTTGCTTTCAAATAACTTGAAGTACTATTTTTATCTTTCCAAAGATATGTGGAGTGGGCTTGAGATTGGTGATTTACCACGGATTTTTATTCTCAGTGTATTATTATTCACTATTGTTAGAAACTGCAAGGCTTGACCACAACAAAGAAACTCTCAATTTAGGTGCCTTTCCAAACATACAAAATGATGGCTTTTCAACTTGAAAATGAACAAAAAGAACTGCTGTTTATTCCAGGTCACACTTTGCACATTTTTCTGAGTTCCTTGCGGTGGGATTAGAAGCTTGGTTATCAGTATTACTTTTACGAAACTGTGGAACCATATGTGCCCCCACCCCTAATAAGCATAAATTCTGAAGCAGGAATCTTTCCAAGAGTTTGAGATTATTCTTCTCATATTAACACAGCTAAATGTTTATACAGACTAATTAGTGAAGCTTTCGTCTAAGGAATATTTCTCGTGTCATAATTCTATTGTATTCTTGCAAGAAGTGTTAATTGTTTTCATACATTGTGTGCTCAGTGAATATCCTAAATAGGCTGAACTTTCTTAAGGCCCTGGTTTTCAGGAGCAGGTAGAGAAATAAAACTTTAGCAAGAAACAAAGCATTTCAGCACTCACTCTGTGAAAATGTGTGCTACCCAATCTTAGATGCCTTGTGTATTAGGCAGCTGTTGTAATTTTTTTAGAAAAAAATCCACATACCTCGAAGTATCATGGATTTTTCATTAACAGTACAAAAACATTGGTATGTGTTGTACATAAAAGGAAGGGTTTGCTGAAGGTTGGCAGCATGTGAAGGAAAGCACGGACTTCATAAATAAAATGATGAGTCATACACATTAGGACCAACTGTTTTTATGCTGGTCACGTATGTGGAAAAAAAACCCTCAAGTTTCTTTCTGAGTGTTAGGTTTAGGTGCTGGGTTCATCACTGTAGTCCAGGAGCTTGTCATTAACACGATTAAAAAGCAGATGCAGATGAAGACACTTCAGCGACAGATGCAGCTGTACAGAGCTGTTTGTATCCCACACACGTATGGAGATGCACAAAACTGAAGCTGTCTGGCCTCTTTACAAATCCTTTGTTTCAAATATTTTATTTTTTGGGGTCATTCATTTTCTGATACTACAGTTCAAGAACTAGACCTCTGCCAGCAGGTTTAATGGCAGAGTGTTTACCTTGTTTACCCATGTTTGCTATATGGTTTATGCTATTTCTCCTTTCTGTCGACCTCCTGAAGGGTGGCTATATTAATTTTGTATCAATGTTTGCAAAAAACAGTGGTTATTGTCCCATTTTAGTGTAATGTGATTAATTTTAACACGTACATTTCTGAACAAGGAAATACCACCACCTGTTTCCAAGATGTTTTCAAATTGCAAAGAGTATTTATATTTACAAGTGTATTATTTCCTCTTGTATGAGACAGCGAGCATTGTGGTATTCTTCAGGACAAATGTACCTCAGACAAGCCTTCCAGTGCCAAGAAAAAGACTGAGAACTCTGTTGGTTTGAGATATTTTATGTTTTTGAACCTCAAAAGGATTTAGATCTTCATGAAAGTATTAATTAATATTATGATAACATGAGTAAACATACAGTATAACAAAAAGATGCCAGATACATTAAGACTAATTAATAGTCCAAATAAAAACAAATAAAATAATCCATTAGTAAATATTTTCATTGAGTAAATACACAAGATTTGCTTAGATTTGCTGGCACCCCCTCGAGTAGCAATGGAATTATCTAGATGTTTCCGTTACCTGTTAATGAGTGTCTCACATTGGGCTCAAATTCATTCTTTCTTACAGAACCTTTCAAGTCTGTGTATTTGAGGGTTCCTTGTGTGGATAGCTTACTTCAGATCCTTCCATAACATTTCAGGGTTTTTTTTCTCTGGGCGCTGATTGGGCCAATCCAAAATGCAAAATTTCTTCTTCCGACATTTTCTTGTAGGTCTGCTAGCATGTTTGGGATCTTTGCAGGGGGTCTTGCTGCATGGATAGTCTTGCATTATGCTCCAGGATTTGCTGATACAGTGTCAGATTCATGGTTCCTCTGATGGCAAGTCATCTTGGTCCTGAGGTGGCAAAGCAGCCCCAAACCATGATTCTCTAAAAACCGTGCTTGAAGGCTGGGATGAGGTTCTTCTGCTGGAGGGCAGGTTTTTACTACACAAAACATATCTCATGGTGTCCAATATGTTCAACTTGTGACTCGTCTGCCCAGGAGATGTTCTTTGAGTAGTCTTGTGAATGGCCCAGGTGCTTTTTGGCAAAATTAAGATGGGCAGCAGTGTTCTTTTTAGGGAACCATGGTTGCTTCCTTGCTTTCCTCCCATGAAAACCACTCCTTTTGAGGTTCGTTATGATGTCCGTGATGAATTTTAGGGGTTCCCCTTCGGAAGATCCTGGCAGGATTACAGGTTCTGGATAGAGTCACCATGGTCTTGAATATTTTCCACTTGCCTAACTGTGGATGGATGAAGCCCCAGTTGTTTAAAATGGTTTTGTAATCCTCTCCAGACTAACGAGCATCAGGTATTCTTTTCCTGAGTTTCTCAAAAATCTTTCTTGATAGTGACATGACATGTTTGTGCTAAAACACTCACAAAGCTTCTGACTCACATCGGGGAGGACTGCCAAAACGCAGCAGTTGTTTACATCTTGCTTAATTATTTAACCCATTAATTAGCTGAGTGAAGTAGGCCTTACTTATTGTTTCACATAATAGAAGTGGAGTGTCCAGAAAAGTGTTATATAAGTTTAATGATTATTATAAAGACTCATTATTTTCATGTAAACATTTTTTTTCTATTCCATACACCACTGTGTCTCAAAAAACATTGAACTGTTAAATATAAAATATTTAGTTTTTTTTTAAAGACTGAATTTGATTAAAAACAGTATCATGGTAAGAAATTGTCATTCCTGCAATTAAATTCAAGCTTTTTCTCAGCATTGTGTATGATCTGTGACAAAAATATACCAAAATGACAAGAATATACATATAATATACAAAGCATAAAAAGGAGCTACTCTGTGTATGTTTTTAGAAAAAAATAAAGTGCACAGATTTTAGATATTGATTAAATGTTTTTACTGTAGTTTTGATGAATGGATCATTCATGAGTGACTGTAATTCACTCCAGGGACGAATTGTTGCATAAGCACCTCGTTAGTGATAGGGTTAATTGGCCATATGTGCTGAGGTGATTTAACCTGTTGAATATCAAGCCCGATTTTTAAGCCAAAGTCAAAATAAAAAGCACAGACAACAACCAATGCACCTTTGTATATTATATAATTTGTATATTGAGAGAGCAAAATTTTCATGCCATCAGTATGTTTTGGAGCTGGACAAAGTTGATGCACTGCTGCTCACCATCTGGGATGTTCAAAGCCAACAATGTCTAACCTTCAAGACAATACAGCCAAACATAACCTATAAATTATACGTGATGATCTGAAGTTCCACAAGTCATAACACCTCTCTGACGTGCCGACTCACCCCCACCCTGAATTGGATGAAGGAGTTAGAAAATGGATCGACACACAAATTTAAAGAATATTAAATCTTAATACTGTCCATGTCAATTTTAGTAAATCTGTTTCACCATTTATGAAAAAATGTCTTTAGATGCTTTAATATTTTCACTGCCTATTCATTACAGCTGCCAGTATTTTCTCTTCATTACGTATTATATTTTTTCATTATTTGCAATGCAGTTGTATAGTATTTGTGGTTTTACAAACAACAAGCCACAAAGAACACATAGAGCTGGGATTCTACGCAATTGGTAGCAGATTTAAAAAGATCAGGTCATTTTGGTGAAAATACTGTATGTTGCTCATAAAAACGGGAGTTTTGTTATTTGAATACACATTACCATGGGAAATGAATTCCAGTATACAGTATGTCGTGATTATTACAAAAGTGTCTAATAGAATTGTAGAGGATGGTGGAGTATTGCTATATTAGTGTAACGCAATAAGGCTTTTCCTTCATCTTTTCTTGCTGGAGAAGCTACTGCCTTTTCTAAGCTTTTTTTTATCAGGTTCTGAATGCTGATCACAAGCCAAAATACCAATTTTCCTGTAAACATTGCATTGAGGGCATTTTTGAAATCTTTTTAGAACCTTTACTTAATTTTCCAGAGATATGAAAAAACTTTTATACCTCTGTTTTTTTTATAAAATAATATTAATTTTTCACTTGTTTTCCAGGTTACCTGTAACAAAGAATACATTTAGACAGTACAGAGTTCTAGGAAAAGGTGGATTTGGGGAGGTAAGAGAATTCCTTTTTCCTTACCAATGTTTTAGATAGTAACAGTCTTGAAAGATCTTTTTGTCAATCACAGCATTTAGCATTTCATAAAGAATGACCCTGATATGTTTCCCACAGTCCTACATGTTAAGGAAATGTAACTGCATGTTCTTCCACACACATTTCAACAGAGCTTTTGAGAGAATGTTGATGCACAAAACCCAAATAAACCCTCTAGTGTATAGAATTTGGCAACAAACAGAAAAATACGAAAATCTGTTTGTTTTCTTTCATTTGTCTTACACTATGTATTTATGGATCTTCTGGTTGTATAGCAAACAATACTGCCGCTTTTAATCTTTTTACAGAATATAGAAATTTAAATTTAAATTGTGAATGCGCTTCTATGTTCTGCACAACTTAGATTTATTTCCCCAATTTGCAATGCAGAAATGATCTGAAAAAAATGTAGCCTCACCCAAACAAGCAACAAATTGTGTTCTGTCAGTTTTTTTTTTCTTCCACAGTGTCAATTTCTCATCTCTGTGTTAGGTTAAAATTAATAATTGAAGTTAGTGTATTGTTTTATCTTATAACAGACAGCTTTCCTTATTTTTAATATACGTACACCTTAAGTAGTTTTCTTCCCAAGACTGTTCTTTCTGGGTTGCATGATCGCATTCTAGGTAACCAATGAACACACAGCTTCTTTTAAACAAATCAGGAGGACTTTGGCAGTCTTTATTTCAGGTGTTTTTGTAATCAGTTCAACTTGGAGACCTCCCCAGAAATGCCTTCTGGAAAAACAAGAAAAGTTACCCTGATGTCTTGGCCAAGCACTGATCCTATGGGCCTCTTTTTCCTGTGTTCCGTCGTCACGCAGGTATGTGCCTGCCAGGTCCGAGCTACAGGAAAGATGTATGCTTGCAAAAGGCTGGAGAAGAAGAGGATAAAAAAGAGGAAAGGGGAGGCTATGGCTTTAAACGAGAAACAGATCTTAGAAAAAGTCAACAGCAGGTTTGTAGTAAGTATCAACTTCACACTTCACCAGAGAACAAGAAAGCTGTGATTGGAACAATGTGTTGGCAGTACTGAAATTATAAAGCTAAAACTGAGTTAAGTCCTCAACATTATTTTTTTCCTTAATTGTGCGGTGTTCTTGGTAAAAGGCTTCTTTTAATAATAAAGGAACCATTAGAATGCAGTCCTTCATTTATACTTTTGAAGGGAAGGAGTTTATCATTAAAAGACATATTCAGATGAGCTTGAACAGATTATGGTGTTTGCCCAGTGACAGTGCCTTCAAGGAATTGTTTTTAACCATTCAGCTGCCATCACATTAATCCACAGAATGAATTTAGATGATTTTAATAATTTGTGACGAAAGTCAATTAGACACAGTATGCCAAGATGCACAAGAGCTCAGGGTCTTATATTGTACAAACCAAAATTAAGGAATGTGAGGCTTGTGCTCTTTTGTAGAACAATTCTAAATTAAATGTTAAATGAAGATTAATAAGATATATTATAAATAAGTGTGATTAAGACATTTAGCAGAACTGTAGTATTTTAATAGATACAAATTTTAATAGCCAGTCTTCATTTGAAAACAGCATTATTCTGTAATTGGGATGGAAAGTTCTGTAGAAAAGTAATTAATTGACCTTTTTTCTGTTTTTGCTATTCTCTCTGTTGTGCTCATCTGCTTCAGGAAATTAGTTGCAATGCAGATATGTTTTAGATTGTGCTAAAAAGTATATGCTAATAATTTACTGATTCATATACTGTGCATCCAAACTAACTTACAAACTGCAACAAATGCACAAAGTTATGAGACCTTTTTGTAGCTGTTTTATTGGCATTGCATTGAACAAACATGGGTAAATTCATTATGCTAACATTAATCATCATCAGCTTCCAGTGAAAGTCTCAGGCTAATAATGTTCTCGGTATTGGAAGCAATACAGTCGGTATATCTGTGTTGTATTCTTTACACCAGATTGCAGTTGCTTGTGGGATTCTCTCCCATTCCTTTCTTACAACCTGGATCAGCATGTGACTGTTCACTGGTCTCTGAGCCCTGGATGCCACACGTCATCCCAGCAAATATTCAATGGGACTCAGATTAGGCGAGTAGGGCAACTGCAGCATAACTGTCACCTTAAAAGAAAGCTATTGTTGTATGTGCAGCGTGAGGACATTGCTTGTCCTGCAAGAATGTTGTCACTTCAGGATGAGGTCACAGGAAGGGCAGTAAGTGGGTTCCCATGGATAAGACCAATGTAGCACCCTACAATCATGTTGCAATCACTACATATGGATTTTTGTATTGACTAACATTCATGGCTAGACCATCCTTTTTTGAACGTCCACTACACATTTATATTGGTTCTTGTATTTCAAGGATTCCCCCATTGTAATTTCTTACTGACAGACAACGCTCGACTGTAACATCTCATCACTATATCACTGGGATGTTGACAGCAAGCAGATGTCGTTCTACCTCCAGCCCTCCAATGGCATAAACGCATTACTTTCTTCATAAGCAGCGCAAATTGGTTCCTTTTGTGTTCTTCCTTAATAGTCACCAGGCTTGATATTCAACACTTTAAATTACTGATACCCAATCAACTCTCTTTACTGAGATGATTTAGCTTGTATGCAGCAGTAGCATCATGGTCAGGCATGATCAATCAATTCATCAAAATTATGCAAAAAGCATTTATTAAGTATCTAAAATACGTATAATTTAGTTTTCTGAAACCTGATGTATAAATAAAGTGATGAGATTCTTTTGTTGCTCAATATAGGAGATTTTTAAATATTAGTGTCTGACATTAAGAACAACTGTGTTTATCATGTACTTCATCCTTCTAAGCTGTCTGATCTCCTGTTCCTAATAACACAAATTTGTTTATCAATATACATGTATGATACATGGTCAAAAAATAATTTTAAATGATTAAATAGGTGTTGCCTATTTTTACATTGGCTCCTTTTCAACGTTTATTGAACAATTACTCATGCCGTCGTAAATACTGTAGCTGTGGAGAGTCCAGGTGAATGCTGGAAGAGGTATTAGTGGGGCCAGAAGGGGGCGCTCACCCTGTTGTCTGTGTGGGACCCAATGACCCAGTGATAGGGACACTATACTGTAAAAAGGTGCCGTCCTTCGGATGAGGCATAAAACTCAGGTCCTGACTCTCTGTGGCCATTAAAAATACCAGGGCATTTCTTGAAAAGAGTAGGGGTGTTACCTGAGTGTCCTGGACAAATTTCCCACTGGCCTTTACCAATTATGGCCTCCCAATAATTCCCATCTCTGAATTGGCTTCATCACTCTGTTCTCCTCCCTGTTGATAGCTGATGTGTGCTGTACGTACTGCCACACTTTGGCTGCTGTTGCATCATCCATGTGCACACTTGGTGATGGTGCCTGTAAAGCATTTTGTGTAGATTGTCCAGAAAAGCACTATGTAAGATTCATTTTATTTATGTCTGAAAGGCCAGATATATGAACATATACAGTATGACAAAGTCTTCAATGTAGTATCACCTGAATTCTGATGGGCAACACAGTGCAATGTCATAATTAACACAAATAACACACACATTACAGCATTACACTAAATGTTTTGTTTTAAAATTGTTGTTTTTCTCAGGAGCTGTCACATTCTTCAAAGGCTTATCAATCAAGTTGAGAAAAAAACATCATAGTGGACTTTAATTTAATAATTTATTGCTGCAACATAACATTTCTCTAGTTAGTAATGTAGCGTTATACAGTATGCTACTTTCTGCAGTTTAAGATTTCTAGCATTTTACATCTGGGTATCATAGAGGTTATCGGTTTAGTATGGATAGGATGTCACATAGTCTGATCTGTTGTTTAGACATTGTGCTTTGAGTATCTGTAATTAAAGTAATTAAAGCAAGTGTGAGCATGAAGGTGCCAAAACATATTGTTGTATTAGATTTTCAGTTGTAATAGATTTTATGTATTAGCATATTTTAAAAATGTGTCATTTCTTTTCATGGATTTCTTTTTGTATTATTGTTTCTTCAGGTTAATTTGGCTTATGCTTATGAAACAAAGGATGCACTGTGTTTAGTCCTGACAATAATGAATGGAGGTGATTTGAAGTTTCACATCTATAATATGGGGAACCCAGGCTTTGAAGAAGATCGAGCCTTGTTTTATGCAGCAGAGATCCTCTGTGGCTTGGAGGACCTTCACAGAGAATTTATCGTTTACAGGTGAGCAAGGTAACTACAGCAAAACGGGACAAATGTTAGATATGGCCATTGAATGGCTTTTAGTGATCTCCTCAGATCATCAAAAGCTAAGCAAGGCTGGATCTGCTCAGGAAAATCAAACTGGCAGGATAGTAGGCAGGATTTCCAAGCCTACCAAGTGGTGTTGGTGGACATTAAGGTGGCATTCTTAATGGATCTGAATACCCTAACCAAAGAACAGTATGGTAATGAAGACACTGTTGTAGAAAGTGCCATTCTTCAAATGAGTCATAAATGGAGGTCCTGACTGCTTGGTCCTTCTTAGCACTGTTTATACGTGTGTGGGTATTAACCTCAGTGTCCTGGCTAATTGCCACTCTTGGTTTGCCCAGCCTGCCATTCCTATACAGTAGTTCCCTCTTAATTCAGTTCTCAATTCTCCACCCAATCCATTGTGTAGTGGGGCTGCTGGTGCAGAATGACTAATGTAAGAAGCCCAGGTGGGTGCCACACTGAATTGCTGGATGAAACGTGTCCCCTCCTACAGTATATGTATGAAGCCTTAGGATACTTTAGGATACTTAGGATGAATAAATGTAATTATTTCTCCCTGTTGGTAGTAGTTAGCAGTAGTGGTAGCTACAGTAGTAATGTGATTGTGGCAAAGGTATTGGTAGTGTGAAGAATTAAAACAAAAAAGTAAAAATACAATATTCAGTAATGGAGATGGTCCATACATAAATCCATTTGAACACCGTTTCTAAAATGGATTAAAAGAGGAAATTAAATTAAAAAAGAGAATTTCTTTTTATGAGGTATGTTTTTTTAAATCTAATTCATTTTAAACAATTTTAGAAATGAAGTAAATATTCCCCTTGTGCCTGTGGCTATGTAACATTGTACAACATGTTTTCTCAAAATTGGATTCCCTGTGCTGTAAAATGAGTCAGAGGGACAAGTGCTTTCCACATTTTACTTTTATTCTTTTGTTTGTGTTGGATTAACATGCTTGTTTTTTGTGTTTGCATGCCTGTATGTATTTTCTTATTACCTATGATGAATGCCTGGCAACTGAGTAAAATGTAATTTGTTTCACGATTGGGCTCTTAAACTTTAACTGTACGGTGCTTTACAGCCCACTTCCTTATCAACTTCCCTGCATTTTTTTTATTACAGTTCTGTCTTTCTTATCTGTGCTTTTTTGGAATACAAACTGCACATCCATTTTTAATTGATGATCCTTTGGGCATCTAATAGGTTTGCTTCAGAAACGAAAAAATAGCCGTTTCTTTATGCTTTACTGAATATGCAGCAATGTTCCACAAACATTATCATACACCCAAGTTAATCAGTGTGGCCTTTGCATGTGTGTGCTTGCTTTTGCCTATTATCTGATTTCCACAGAAGAAATCAGGAAATACATCTGCTTGTGCTATCCTCATTCGAACTACTATCTAATGTGCTTACCATTCTTTCCTTAAAACATATAATTTCCATAATTAAAAACTTTTCAGTTGTTGACAAGATGTGAAATTGAACATCAGTATTAAGTATTTCAATATCTTGTTTCTTGTCAGTTATGTTCGGCAAATTGTAATTGTCCCCTAAGATGTTAAAAAAGCCAAATTGAGTAATGTTACAGTGTCATCTATGATACAATTGTTCAAAACCTGAAAAGGATGTCTAAATAAAAGTCATATGTATGTTTACATAATTATTTCCTTTCTAGATCATTTTATTGGACCATATACTTTCCACAGAAATAAAATGAAGGAAATGTTTAAGACATTGTATGAAAATAAAATTGCATAGACAGGTTAAAATCTGAGTAGTTTACAAAATGCTTTTTTGTACTAGTTTCTAAATTTCTGCCATTTTTTACAGCGTAAATATATGCTGCTGTAACGGTTTTATTTTGCTCTTTAGGGATTTGAAACCAGAAAACATCTTGTTAGATGACTATGGTAAGCATTTTTATGTAGAAAGTTCTAATTATCAACAAGTCTTAAATAAAATATCTTGTTGCTGGTTTTCCAGAAATGGTATTGATGAAATTGTGTTATAATCTACCCCTAACATTTTACCCTGAACTGCATTTCCAGGAGTCTGTTTATCTGTACTAAGCTTCAGTTTATAACAGTATAAGACTTTTTACTCTCTCTTCTCTAAAAATGTGGAGAGGCCTTAGTTTACCAGCTTTGACAAATACAGGACAAAACGTAATTGCTTATGGGTGCCAGCATACAAAGAGGGTTATTGACATGTTAAATAAAATGAGAAGTTGTTCAGATTCCGAACCTCATACAAGAGCTTTAATGCTGCTTGCTGCTTTGTTCAAAACAATTTGCAACAGTAATCTTGAGAATTAGTCACAGGTGCCATGGGTTCACATTAATAATACATCATTTTACCACTCAACAGCGGTGGGTATGGTAGACCTTTCCAAAGATCATATAATTACAAATAATATATACTACTAGAAAACAAATGCAGAATAATCTGTTGCATAATGTCCCCAAGAGTGCCATTGTGGGTTCACCTTTTTCAAAGCTCTAGATGAAACTGGCACACCATTGACAGGTTTATAGGTTTAATGGTCTGAATAGCTACCCCAGTTTTAGATAAAATAAATGATTGCCTGAAAAGCTGAGAGAATTCAGAAAGAAGGGGGATGAACTCTGAGGGATAAATTATTCAGTGCCTAAGAGTTTAGAAGTACATGACTTTCTTTACTGTTTTTTAAGATCTTTAAATTGCTACAGTTACATTTACAGTTTTCTTAGAAATTCTGTTGCATGTGGAATAACAGTATATAAGAAATGTGAATAGGTGCCACATTGTTTCTTTCTGTTGCTTAGATCAGCTCTGTTCTTGTATCAGTCTTGTATTTTTCATTTAAAGCTGTAAACTCTTTCTTAAAGTATCCATAGCCAAGGTTAAAAACAAACCTAAATATAAAAAATATATATTGAGTTTAACCTATCCTGCTAATGTTATAGTCACAGATTATTTGGTTAGTTATGCTTATTTAATAATTATGATTTATGAATTGCATGTATTATAGGTTATTTCTGATGTGTTTAGTTTTAGTTATGTAGAAAAGTTGTACTGACAAGAAACAAAAGTGTAACCTTTAAGCAACTTTGAATAATAGTTTTCCAAAAAATATATATGAGATTTACATTTATATGTATGTAATGATAATACATGAGCAACTCTGTTATAAATTTACCAGCCAAGGCATTAAGGAATCTGTTCCACAAGTAACTTAACCTCAAATTATTGGTTTCACATGTTTTTATTGCTGTTATTTATTGACCTGTGTTTGCACACCATTGAGCAAATGCCAGCACAGCCTAAAACACTTATTAGAAAATGTGTTCATTTTTTTCTTTATGTTGTATTGTAGTGAAAATATTTTTTTTTTCTTGAAATCGGTTGTATGTGTTGGCAGGCCACATTAGGATATCAGACCTGGGTCTCGCTGTGAAGATTCCTGAGGGTGAGACTATACGAGGCCGGGTAGGAACTGTTGGTTATATGGGTGAGTTCTTTCTATTTCCTCTTTGATAGTAAGCGAAGGCTTAAACAGAATCCTTGTCTAAATGTCAGTCGCAGTTATACAGACTTCCATCATAATTCGTTTTTGGCCTCTGGGGGCGGCATGGTGGCACAGTGGTTAACATTGCTGCCTTACAGCGCTGGGGCCCTGGGTTCAATTTTGGACCTTGGGTGCTGTCCACGTGCAGTTTGCATGTTCTCCTCCTGTTTGCATGGGTTTCCTCAAGGTGCTCCGGTTTCCTCCCACAGTCCAGAGACATACTGGTTGATGGTGGTGGGTGGATGTGTGTGATTGTGTCTGTGCCTGCGGTGGACTGGCGTCCTGTACAGGGGGTATCCTACCTTGCACTTGTTGCATGCTGGGATAGGGTCTGGCTTCCCCACGATCCAGTATTGGATGAAGAGGCTAGAAAATGGATGGATGGTAATACGCTGCGAGTTAGTGGGTGAATGCATGGGTCTGGTTAATGCTAAACACAGCATACTGTATTCATCCCGGACTTGTGCATTATATTGGGGAATTGTACAAAGGGAATACAAACAGAGCACCACATTTAATAATAATAACAATAAATAATTGCTTACACTTACATAGCGCTTTTCTGGACACACCACTCAAAGCGCTTTATAGGTAATGGGGACTCCCCTCCACCACCACCAATGTGCAGCCCCACCTGGATGATGCGATGGCAGCCATAGTGCTCCAGTACGCTCATCACACACCAGCTCTCAGTGGGAAGGTGAACAGAGGAGAACAGAGATCACATTTCAATGTACAAGATCTGTACTGCTTTGTTTAACAGGGTTATTCCAGGTTAATAAAAGGAAACTCTGGGGAGACACTTTTTCCACATAGGATTGCGTGCACAGTCATTAATTACTTTTTGTTGTTTTGTTGATTGCAGCCCCAGAGGTACTGAATAATCAGCGTTATGCCCTGTGTCCTGACTACTGGGGCCTCGGCTGTCTGATCTACGAGATGATCGCTGGGCAGTCGCCATTCCGCGGCCGCAAAGAGAAGGTGAAGCGAGAGGAGGTGGACAAGAGGGTGCTGGAAATTGAAGAGAGTTACTCTGATAAATTCTCTGAAGAGGCCAAGTGTGTTTGTAAATTGGTGAGTGAAGCTGTCTTCCCAAAGGCAAATTATCATCACGTTTTGATTCCCCATTGTCATATTGTCACTATTGCAGGTAATTGTTACCTTAAGTATAGATGAAGTATTAACATGGTTACTGAGTGCCCACTGGGTAACAGCCCCCAGTCAGATTATCTGATGGTCTGTTGGTCTGTTTGCGAGCAGTTGTAATGTAGGCTGTGCTGTTCTTCCTCTGTGGCCAGAATTTCCGAGTGGCATCCAATAACTGAGTAAATGATGTGAGGCTGTTATGCTGTGGGTTTAACTTGGTTAACCTTAACCTTACCTTGAACCCATCACCCCTGATTAAACTGTTCCAAGATTAAAGTGGAAACAAAAAAGTCTCATTTGATGTAGATATGTTGTCTTAATTCCTTCCCAGCTTAGCCTTTACTGAAACAGTAAATAAAAAAAATAAAAAAATGTATAAAAAAATAAAACAGTTGAGGAGCTTGACTTAGTAGCATCAGCACTTGGTGGTGGTGATTCATTTATTTATAGTTTTCATCTCCCGTTATTAGCATTTTAAGGGCTTCACAGTGCCTGCCACAGTTTTCACTGCGATAAATGTTAAATAATAATGAAATGACATATTTTAGACTTAATTCTGAACATCATATGTCTCTCCTTTATTTTGTAGTTATTAACCAAAGACCCAAAGGAGAGGCTTGGATGCAGAGGAGAAGGAGCATCAGAAGTAAAGCGACACCCATTCTTTAAGTCTATTAACTTTAAACGCTTAGAAGCTGGAATATTGGAGCCACCTTTTGTGCCTGATGTGAGTATTTCACACAAACTGGAGACAGGTTCTCTTGACAAGAGATAGTGAATTATGGCTCTTCAAAGATCCCCCTCTTAATTTGAGCATTTTTAAATCGCAAACTGGACTAACCAATAGTATCCATAATCAGTTTTGCTTCCATAGTGTTAAACTCAGTCACAAACAGGGACATTGTAGTACAACATATGCAAATGATTCAAATGGATGGCGGAATGATGTGAAGAATAAAGAATTAACTTTTATGTCAGGTGCTTTTCTCTAGGTGTGGAGGTGTTGCCTGTTTTAGTAGCTTAAGAGAACTCTTTATGAAATGTGATAATGGTCAGTGCACTCAGGGTAATTCAGTCATTGTCACCTTTCCTAGAGAAACGTCCAATGACTTTTCATACAAAAAAGCAAATTATTTGAAATTTTTTGTAATAGACAGGGGGTTCATTAAAATTATCTGGTGATTATCATCTATCATGTACTATACTGTATGTGTTATATGTACCATATACAGGATCCAATTTAAGGTACTTAGAGTGAAACCTTTAAATGTTTTAAAATGCATATGTTTGTTAGAAAACTAAATAAAATAGTATGGGTCAGATAGACTAAGAAAGTCCAGTTGTGCACAAACGTACAAAAAATTATGGTTTAATTGTGACAAGTAAACATTGCACATTACATCCTTTGTACTATGAGAAAGTGTTAATGAGGAGAGCAACAGTATACCAATTTACACAGGTGTTATGCTTTAGCAAGGTGATAGGCTATATAATATGTCAACACACTACACTATTCTAGCCTCATGTTTTTGAGAAGAAACAGAAGTATTCTGGAAAATAGTCCCTAGTTTGCCTCATCAGGACCATAATCTGGCACTATTGAAAGGGAATAAAAAATAATGTTTTTCTGATCAGACATTCTTTGTCAGGAAGTTTCTACCCTGAGGTCCAGTCAGGAGGTCATTGTCTCCCGATAATGTTTTAGTGTATTAAGAAATATAATTTGCTGTTAATTTTTATTTATTTTGTACAACTTAGTAACTTAGTATTTCAACTATAGAATCTCATATGTAAAGCTTAGTTCTTGTCTTGTTTGGCAAAAGGAGTTTGAATGACTCACTTGCACGAACGTTTAAACAGGACTTACACTAAGGATTAGATTTCTCACTTTTATTCACTTAGACCACAGGCTCTTAAGCATATGTTTGTGATCTCTGTGCACATAAGCACTTCCTTTAAAAAATCTCTTACTCTGTATCTGTACCTGTACTGCAGAAGTAAAAAGTAGTAAAGTTGTGAATGTGATTTAAGATAGCTTATGCTATTCCTTATTTTTCCTATCTGAAATATACAGTCAGTAATGTATATACTGTACTGCTGGTGAAGAATGGAACTTTAATTATTGGTGTGTTTCATTGTTTGTGTTTTAGCAGAATGTAGATTTAAAAGATTAAATACACCTAACTTTTTTTTCTGTGTTTTTGTATCAGTGTTTAAAATCTAAAGGAAATGTAAATATTATTAAAAGGCAGCTCTTCAAGAATCAAATTTCTAAAGCATAATTTGTTCTTCAGCCTCGTGCCGTGTACTGTAAAGATGTCCTAGATATTGAACAATTTTCCACTGTGAAGGGGGTTAACTTGGACCAAACAGATGATGACTTCTATTCCAAGTTTGCAACAGGGTCTGTTTCCATACCATGGCAGAATGAGGTGAGAAAAAAGGGCTTGCATATCGCCTTTAAAAATATTTCTGTTGTTTCTAGTCTCACCTAGTAATATTCACATTTTAAAATTCACAGAGCATTGCTTTTTACAATACTGTGAGTTCCATGACATTTTAAATTAACTTTAAGAGTGCAATTGCTGTACTTTAGAAGAAACACTTCACTTAAAATGCTTTGATAAGTACCAGAAAACAGAAACATGCCACTGGCCTAAATTTTACAGCAGTGTGTGTATAGTATCAGATCTCTGCATATTACTGTTGGATAACTTCAGGAACCTTTGATCATTTATTTCTGTCTGTTATCAGATTTGATATTCTTAAGCAATCTTAAGTCGTTAGCCACAGTGTCACAACTATTTGGCCGATAGACTAGATTAGGAAGGGAGAGAAAGAAGACCATAGAAGGCCAAATAGAGAAGCTGATTGTTGGGTCAAAGGTGGTGTTCATAGTTATGCAAATAAGAGATAAATGGTTTCACAAGCATACATTTCTCTCCCACATTGTGATTTTACAAATACAGTGTGATATTTCTTAGCCAGTGGGTGTGTGGGTGGGGATGAAGGTGCAGTTGAAATTTCAGTGGATTTAGATTGTGCAGTGTTTTGACAGGCAGTGCGCTTAGGACTGAAGTCTCACTTTTATGCAAAGGGTGATGTGTGTCTGGAGCAAAGTGCTCAGTCATGTTGTTAAATCTGACTACCTATGATCCATCAAGAAACACAAGGGCATGATCCAGTAAACTCTCTCTGATCCAGTAAACTTCTGGTACCCAGATATGGATATATTTGATATGGAAACAAAATAACGTTGTTAAAGACAATAATACTTTTCCCTTTCGTACAGATTTCTTTCTCTACTGTACACTGACATGTTCTGAGTGATTCAAAGATATTATAGCCTCCAATAGTTATGTTTCTTGAGACCCCATCTAATTAAAATTCAGTATGAACTTTTATGGAAACCGATTATTAACACATGAAATCCACAAAATATTACTTCCAACTGATTACTATCAGAAGCTTTCAGCCAACTACACCAAGTGTTCTGCAACTGCTAATCTTGGGAATCTGATAAATGTTTTCACATAGTGTTTCCTACCTACATACGTTTTACAGTATGTATGTTTAGTGAAAAACTGTTAATTTAATATGGTGTATGGTAACAGAAACTGCCTGCTTTATGATACCTCTCTTCTTAACCTTTGCTGATAATAACACAACACTAAAGCAAATAGACTTAATCTTAGCTATGTTAACATAAAATAAATAAAATGTTAACTAAAATATATAAAATGCTTGATAAATTATAGACCAGGTTAACGTAACAACACTAGAAGGAAGAAGAGTTAGCAGTAACAATACATTCTTTGTTTTACTACGTCGCAATACATCTTTTGTGCATCCACTAGATGTCACTGTAAACAGAGCCTTATGTAGAGAGTTTGGTCAAGTTTACAATGGGCGCCATGTTACACACACTGAGAGCAGGATCATAAGAGTGTCATGGCATAAACTATCTGCACCACATGCTTGGAATGGCTTTGTTTGAATGTCCAGTAAAAAGCTGGAATTCTGAGGGCACACATGAATTCCACACAGCATGTCTTCCACACAACAAAAATATAATAGTGCCGTTTCTCACATAAGCTCATTCTTCCCAGTTATAGTCAGCTGATACCAGGTTGGCAAGACTCTCTCGATGAATGACTGGAACACAATAGTGTTTCTTTCAGCTTCATTTAGTGTTACTATATGATTCTATACTAATAGCAATTGTTTTTGTAAACTTGCTAGAAGGAGGTTTACAGTAGGTTAATTTCACTTCATTCAGACTGTGGATTTCTGTATCATGAATATATTTTCCTTTTAAGCAGGAAGAAGTAAGGCAGTCACAAGAAAAAATAAATTTAATAAATTTTAATGTAAGGGCATAAGTAATACATTTAACAAATAAAATCTGTTTCTGTTTTCTTATTTCTAGATATTTCTGTACTAAGTACTAAAAAGGCTGAACCTTCATAATACAGGGGTCCCAGACCCTGCTAACACCTCTATGCATTGCCTCACATATGTTGTTCAATGTCCAGGCTTTCAGATGCTGAGTGCTTGAAACCACTGTATTGTCTCGCCCTGTGTTATGTTTTTTCTTTAAGTCTGGCTTTGGCCTTTCAGTAACCCTTCCCTTTTCCCCAGATGATTGAAACCGAGTGTTTCAGTGAGCTGAACACATTTGGGACAATTGGAGAGCTTCCCCAAGACCTGGACAGGAGCTACCTCCCAGAGCCACCCAAGAAAGGAATACTTCACCGCTTCTTTCGACGTCAGGTAAATCTTGCACACCTTATCCAGTTGGGATTGCTGTATGTGGCCTCTCACAATAAGACTGAACAATATAATAAAAAATAATCCTATCACTTCTATAGTGCTTTTCTGGACACTGCAGGGCATTACAGGTAATGGGGACTCCCCTCCACCACTGCCAGTGTCAGCCCCACCTGGATGATGTGACAGCAGCCTTAGTGCTCCAGTACGCTCACCACACATCAGCTATCAGTGGGGAAGAGAACAGAGTGATGAAGCTAATTTATAGATGGGGATTATTAGGAGGACAAGATTGGTAAAGGTTGGGGGGAAACTTGGCCAGGACACTGGGGTAACACTGCTATTCTACCTAACACTTATATGTTTTCCCCTGTTTACCCTTAATATGCTTGACATAACCGTAATATTGGATAGCTTGATGGCTGAGACTGTGCATGGAGCTGCCCTTTGAAGAGATTATCATTTTTTTCCATTTCTTTTTTTCCCTAAGTATTGTTTTTGTTTGTATGTATCCAATAGAATAATTCAGCTTGTTTAGCTCAACACAGAAATCAGTTCTATCATCGGGACATTACTTGAACAGCCCAGCACACTTCTTCATCCAGATTCATGACATTACAGAGCTGACCAGAGGAAGATGAACAGTCTTTGGAGGCAGTGTTTGCCATTGTCTCAATGGTGTATTACATTGTTTTCACAGCATCACCAAAACAACTCTAACAGCCCTTCAAACTCCAAGACCCATTCCAACCACCATGTGAATTCCAATCACGTGACCTCGAACTCCACGGGCAGCAGCTAGTGAAGAGCCTTTGAACGGTCGCCACTGCCCCTAGCCCACCCTCTGGCTGCGTCCTCCAGCGTTGGTGAGAGCCGAAAGCGAAATGGGAACTCCTGGAAAAGCTGTAATGGTTTAGGAGGGGCAGAGACAGTAATTGCTGATATCCACCCAGTCCACACAATGGAGCTGTTCATTCATTCCACAGTGACAGTCAGAGCCTCTTTCTGGATGGAGATGTTCCAGTTCCACTCAGGTTTATACCACAGTTGATGCGCGCAAGATCAACAGCAAAACAAGTCTCCTTAGAACATTGCAATAGCAAAATTAATAAAACCAAGCTATGTACAAGACTACTTGCACGTATTAAAGAAACATGACATTGGACTAAAACTAAATTTTGTCTTTATTATAATTATTATTCTTAATTACTATTATAAGGGAAATAATACATTTTGTACATTTAACTCTTATTGTCTCAGTTTACATTTTTTGTACGTTTGTATTTGAATGAACGTTTGAATTTCGGATGATTTTTGTCAGTCCAACAGCCCAGGCAAAGTCAAGCGTTCTCTGAATGGCATCCACTGAAATTATTTGTATGAAATGCAATGTAGAACTTAATCGATTGATTTTATTTTTTATATTTATGTATACATAGGCTGTATATATATGTATATGATTTTGTTTAATTTGCAATACTTTTTATGTTTTCTGGGACCTTCACAACCTGATTTGCCAGATCAGTTTGCCTTTTCATTATTTAATACCATTGCAGATTTTAATGTGGAAAGCTGTTTTTTGTGTTATTTATTAAAGTGTACCCTGTCAAAGTAAATACTCAAGTATATTGCAGATTTGGATAGCTACCGGGGGTGATTTAGTCTTTACGGATGTTGTCATGTATCCTAGAAGTGCTGTACCACAAGCAATGCTAATCACTTTAAAAAAAAAACTTTCCTCTTCCCTTTTCATTTTTAGAACATTCCTCTATGAATAACTCTTTTTCTAGAAAATTTCAAAAGTAATAAGCATTGGCTATTTGGAATGCGTGTATAATAGTTACCTGTGTTAGTCTGTGGCACTGGTCCTATTCAAGGGCAGAAAACAAATGTAAGAATTGTATGTGTCCCACTGAAACAATAAAGCAGAAGTTAGAGAACATTCTAATAGCCAACTAGTACAGAAACTCACGGGAGTTCTCTTCTCTTTTGTCCTATGGGCACGTGTTGCTGTGTGTAGAATGTCTGAATATGTTATATGGATGTTGCTGTTGTTCAAGACGTAGTGTTCATTTTTAACATAGAGGATGCCTACTTTATCTCTCATTTTACAGCTATAGGAATTTGTTTTTAATCTTATTTTTCATACGCTCCGGGTTGAGCAGCAGTTTGCCAAGGAGTCGGTGGTTCAATCACAGTTACCCATGTTAAAAAATGTATTTAGCTTTATCTGAACCTTACTTGCTAAAACTTAAGGTAGTCATTTAAATTAGCTCCTTGTCAATAAGGATAGAATGTGAAAAATGTGTACAGTATGTTACTTTTAGAACATTCAAGGAAATATCATTCTAATATGTTCAAGACACAGTAGCATTTAATTATAAATCTTAAACATGTTACTTTCCTTACTGTGTGCAATTTTTGTTTAAATTGGGTATCGAAAATTGTATTGCTTGTACTTGATTTTTTTGTTTAAAGAAGTTAATCCTGCAATGATATGGTTAAATACATGAGTGGTGAAACTCTAAGGGAACAAAGAAATTGGGTGAAATTTCAGAACCCCACAATTATTTGAGAGGAGTGCATTCACAACTATATAAGGGCCCATCTTTGAACAGTGTTTCAAGTACAAAAGAAAACATATAAATTTTATACACTGCTACATTGTAAGGTCTAATGTTTTACTTAATTACACTCCTCTATTCTGTTCCCGGAGTGTGCAGGAACTCCAGGAACTTTTTGCTATGTTCTGTGCCTTCAAACATTAAATCATATGCCTTTGCCAAGCAAAAAAAATTTGGTCCCACATTCTGACGTGTCTTCTTTTGCGTCAAATTTATATTTGACAGTTTCCATTGTTTTTCAGATTACACCTCAATCTTCATAAACTACGTCTCTTAATTTGTGAAAAGTACTGTGATACTCGGCCCAATGCCATAAAGGCTGTAGTTTTAATTTACCCTTTGCTTTAGAGCTCCCGTATTAAATCTGAGTAACCTCTAATAAAGGAATTATGTAGGCTGAGTGCTTTGGCCATTTCCTCTGTTCTAGCTCTACAAAATATATCACAATTAAAACTAGACATTTACACTGCAATTAAATGTGTTCAAATGTAACAGAGCTCATTTGGCAATTAAACTATAACAGAAGATGACATCACCCCCTTGGAACCTGGATCATGCCTTGGCAGGAGGCCTGACCTTTCAGCGTAATAGAATTCTCCACTGTCTGAGGACTGCTACTACAGTATGTGGCATTGCCTGCGAGCCACGTTCATCACGCTGGTGCTGTAATTTGGATCACAGACTGATGCTAGTTACTGAAGTTTCTGCAGACGAGAAGATGGGGTTTAGAAGGGGAGAATGTAAAAGAGCTCATTTGCGCTCAGTTTACAAAAGGTGACTTCACTGTCTTGAAACGTGGATAACATTGAATTCTCCTGCTGCAAGAGGCTTGGCCTTTGGGCATAATGGAATTCTGTGCTGTCTAGGGAGGGACACAGTGGCTCTGAAGCTAGAGTTTCCTGCGAACAGACAGCTACATTCACCACACCAGAGTGTTCACTGGGTCATGGCATCAGAGTTCAGCTACCTGCCAAAAGATTTTTTCCAGTACCAGTTCTCAAAATGTGATTGACCTTTTACTTTCTCTCATACGTAGTTTTCTTGTAGATTTCTGTTTTTGTAGTTAAATTGAAGTTGTAAATGTAGTCGTGTAGTTACATCTTGTGGGCTCACGTTGTAAATGTCTCTTTCCAGGTACATTCAGTCTGTGACTTCGCTTTCAATATTCATATATTGTGAAGTGAAGCAGAATACATGTAGATGTGCAGTGAGTCAAACGTGGCTCCAAACTGCCATTCTTCATGCAAGCTGAAGTGGAGTGATTCTTTCGGTAATGGTTCACTAAGAACTTATAGTATGGACACACTGCTATCTGATGAGACCTGCATTAGACTTTTAATTACATGGAAACTGAAGCGGGACTATTCAACTTGGCATCACAGTAGAACATAACAGATTTTCAGTTTGGTAGCACACTTTTCTATTTGTGTTTTCTCCAGCTTAGTTACTTCTCACAGAATTTCATTTGCATCTCTCTGCCTTGCTTTGTTTGCAATCTGCCGCTTTTAGCTTTTTTCAGGCTTGTGACAGAAACACAGACACAGATGGGAGGTGGCTGAAAGCCTTTAATTTTAATTTAATTATTTTACCAAACTGTCATGCAAACATGCTGGAACATCTAATAAAAGCTGCAATAAAAGGGCACATTCTAGGAAACCTTGTCCAACTTGTATATCAATAATATAAGCTAATATTGATTTAATGAATGCACATAAATCAATAAAGCAGCATAACATTTTATTTTAATCAAAAGTATTTGGGCATATCTTGAAGAAAATAAAACAGGATATAAATTTTGAAGCTTTTATACCTGGGAACATCAGTCAGAAAAGAGGGTATGAGTGATTCAAAAACGTCAATGTCACCTGCTTGTGAATCATTTTAAAAAATGCCTTCTGTTAAAAGAAAACACTAGAACAGATTTGCATTCTTTATATTTTAAAAATTCAAGAAATGAAGAATTATTTATCCATGACTAAAAGTTAATATCTTCATAGATTCTGAACAAACACAGCTAAGATTAGTATACTTGGACATTTCTTCTATACTTTACATTACCAGCACTGGTTTCTCATTAATATTTCCATGAAGGCTCCTCTTTTTTTACATGATAGAAAGTCAGCTTTTATTGTGGACATATAAAGAAACCTATAAAACCTGCTGGATGCTTTGCCTCCAAAACTGGTGTACGAGCCTCTGGGATGTACTGAGAATAATTACACTGCATTTAGGAGCAAATGTTAAAAAAACACAACTAAATTGTTATAAGTGTGTTTGTTTTTAGTTACCATCAGATCACTAAATGAGGTGGTTTTAAACAATGCTGTCATAAGGAACTCTATGAAACAATTTCAAGGAAAAAAGGACAGGAAAGAAATGTGTTTGATGATAGTTTAGAACCCATTGTCCTTCACCTCCACACGTGCACCAAATGTATTCACATTCTTAAGAGAATAATTTAAATCCTGGGTCAGCTTATGATTTGAACACCCGCCAGCTATTGATTTTGTTCCAGCAGTCCGTCTTGCAGCGCTTGTAGAAATCGAGGACGCTCAATGACTTGACTTTGCTGCCACGCTCCATCTGGGACCGACTCTCCAGCTGCTCATAGTATTTGGGGACAGGACCCGTAATGATGGCTGCGCAGCTGTTGCGGCGACACATTCTTCTGCTGTGGCATTGCTGAGTCAGGCCTGACCTTGCATTTGGGCTATGATGAGACTCAATGTTTTTCAGCTCCATCAGCCTCTGGCTGAAGTAGTCCTGCATGTTTTGTTCATGGAATCCCCCATTCCAGTCACCTAAATCCTGGGAGAGGTGATTGCTCTCGGTGCCATTGGCAATCTCCTGGGATTTCAAGCTTTCACAGGTGATGGGTCTTACAGCAGAGTTACCCTCAAACCGTGGTGGGGAGGCCAGGCTTCTCTTGTGTGGCAAGTCTTGAAAGACTGGGCTGGAGTTTGCACTTGCAGGTAGACTCCTTGAAACCTGGGAAAATGAAAAAAAAATATTTTTATTTTATGTTCTTTTAGAACGTCCACTTACAACATACTTCATCTGGCATTATTTTGAAAATAATGTGCAGTGCTGCAATCAATACAAACAAAACTTAATGAAATGGATAGTGTGGCACAGATCCCAAATAACGCACACCATGAGCAGTAGTAAAACTATGATTTTATTGGAATGCGTCAAATAAATGTGACATATACCTGGGTAATGTTCTCATACTTAGAGAATTTTAATTCCAAAATGTATTGTACTGTTTTTCTACCACTTTTGTAAAGACTTTGTAAAACAACATACAGCTAGTACAGGTGGTAGAGAGGAAAACCTTCTGCTGAAATGTGTTAAAGTACATCATACTGAGAGGCAGTGTGGGATTATGAAATGTCTTATTTTGAAAGCTTCATTTGAGAAAATGTGCAGTGTGTTATTTTCTGAATGGAAGAAAACAGAGGAATGGTTTATGAGTTACATTCTAAAATAGAGGAGACTGGGAAAAATAGCTCTGTGTCTCAGGAGGGATAAATCACAAGAAAACATCCCTCATTGGCACTCATGCATTTCCTTCAGTTTTTGCTTTATGATCAGTTCCAACTTCCTAGGCTAGATTGGTACCAGATGGAAAGTAAGTTATGAAGGCTGTTCTAATGAGGCACAGCATAAATATTTGGCTCCAGATTACGTGTGATGTATTTGTGTGAAAGAATCTATTTACATTTATCATGTAATAAAAGCTTTCAAGAAATTGAATCTCCAAAGCTTTTGAACATCAGTGTACATTTTTAGCCTTACCTTGTTCTGTTCCTGAACAATAAATCACTGTATTTATGTTTTCTCTTTATTTTTTTCCACGACTTTCAGTTTGAATTTCAAAGGCTTTGATGCACTTTTTATCAAGACTTTAGTAACGAAACACCCTTTCATGTGGGGTTCAGACCACAGCTATTATTTTGCAACATAAATGTTGATTTTTACTACGTGGATTTTGTTCAGCTTTGCACAGATGTAGCTTACAGCATAACCTTCATTCCTTACAGGGCTTTTCCTGCTATGTTCTGTGGCAACATTCTTAAAGCTGTACACCCAGGCTAGTTGGATTCCAAGACACCTTCTGTTTCTTTAGAAATATTGTACTTTGTTAAAAAAATATTCACAGTCTTGGCTGGCCACAGCTATTAGTCACAGTCATGTGCATTTAAATATGGTACACACAGAGGAAACAGGCTTCATGCCTTCACATCTTTCTAAATCATCTGAGACAGGCTAATTTTGCATTGCAGAGAAATTGTGATTTGTTCAAAGTAAATTTCAATTTTTAATGACATAATGATTCATGCATTCATCTAGCCATTCATTTTCACCTTCTTGTCCTGGAAAGGTTTGTGGCATGATATATTTAATTTGTTTTTTACACTGTTGGTCAGACTTGGAGAGAGTTGTGCTGTTATGTTAGCTCCACATCTGTCCAATTGTTTGTATCACATTACACATCTGAATTTCCTATTAGTTTATTACATAAGAGAATTTCAGCTGGGAAGAAAAAAATGGTGAAAGAGGGATAGCTTCCAAAATAAATACATAATGTTTTGGAGATTCAATCATAATATACAGATTTTAAATGCTAGTCCAGATGGAAGAGGCTGACCACGGCTGCTTAAAAGGGCTGCAGCATAGTGTGTGATTGAGGACTTTGGATTTCAGAGCAGAGGGTCACAGCTCAAAGCCCAGGAGGGACAGAAGACACAACAGGCAGACAGATGGGTTCCTCACTCACATTACTCTAGTAAATGCCAGCTGCACTAGCAGGTCTCCAGCCCATTGTTTTGAATGAGAATTCATTCTTAATTGACTCAGCAGGTAAAATAAAAGAATTCCATACCTTGATGTCCTGGAACCCGGGATACTCCGGAATGCTGGGCAGGATACAGACTCCAGTACTGTTTGACCTCCGCCGTGCCCCATACCTTCGTGAATGAGTCCGTTTTAGATGGACTGAGTTTCCATAGTAAGGCATTGTGTTTTTCAAAAAATTCCTTATAAAAGTTATCAATAAATCTTTACAGTTTATTGTTCAGATTTTATCTTTAGAAACTTAACACTCATTTAGCTGTATTCAGGGATCTCATGGTTAAATTGCTGCTTTTTGAAAAATATGCTGTCAAAATAATTTGAGGCGAAATTAAAAATTATTTATCGCAGCTGCAGCTTCTCAAAAGATCTGTTTTCCAGGACAGAGCCTTGCAATTGCCTTGCTTAGGGGCTGATTGCCTTTTCCCTCTTAATGGATCCCACAAGTTCCTCACAGCTTTAGATCTTGAAAATCCATGGGCTTCAGATCAAAGTGTTTAGAGAGATTATCAGAGCTCTGCCTGCTGCTTGGATTTGCTAATGTCAAAGTCTTTTGCTCACATGAGCCAGTCCTTATCAGATCCTGGTCATGACGTCTACACTCAATTATGGATAGAATAACACGTAATTGCTCCAAAAACACCTGTTGGTTTTGCCTCAGCATTTGCCTGCTCTATCGGCAAAAACATGTATGCTTCTTACAGTACTTTACTGTTAGACTGTAAAAACCAAGAAGACAGATCATCTTGTTAGATGTGGCACAATGACCACATAACCTACAAGGCACAAAGTGTTAGTGACTGTGAGAAGGATTAATTTCCTTTACAGGAACACCTGGTGTTTATAAATACCTTCATTTCTGAGCATAAGCATTTATTGAGTTTAATAAACAGTGCTACAATGGCAGTGTTTATCATTATGGAAGAAAATTTAAGTTGATTCATAAATATACAGTATACTAAGGAGGTCTTAAAATGCAATAAATACAGAAGTATTGATTGTAATAGTCATTCATTGCATTTTAAATGCCTTTTAGTACATTTTTGTTGAATATGATTTACCAGCAATAACTGTGGTCTTCTGTTCTGTTGAAGTGCACTGGTCTTTTAAAGGAGTGTACACCTGTGGTTTTTGATCCCATTTATTTATTTTTGCTCCCTCTTTTTTCTTATTTATTCTTCAGCACTCCTTCTATTTAATATGCTATATAATATGGCAATGTAGCAAGAAAAACTATCCTAAAAACTATTAAACTGAGGGAATTAAAATTTATTTTACACTGAGTTTCAAAACCCACTTTCAAAGCACTGCTCGTTACATTGAGCTAACTACCTATGTAGAAGCTCTTTAGAAAGAGAATATAAAAAGCAAAAAACATAAGCAGGAATCTGTTCACAAAGTAGGAGCATAAATCAAGCAAAAGTCTACCCAGAATGTTGCAAATGAATCAAAATCAAAATGTTGCAAAACTATCTTATTGTTGATTGGAAACCCAGATAGGCTGGAGTTTCCAATATTCTCAACTCAGTTACATCTCTTAATAACAGGCTATAAAAACATTTCAGTACATTCAAGAAACAGTTATCCCTGAAAAACATTCAGGACTTAGAACTGCTACATAAACGAAGAAAAATACTTCAAATATAAGCTTTTTTACCTTTTAACCTAAATTCTAACACATTATAGAAGTGACTCAGTGAAAGCCCACAAATAAAAACAAGTAATGCCCAGAAGATGTACATTTTAGACAAGTAAAAGAAAGGGGTCAAGATTAAATAAAAACTAATTAAAAGGTGCTGGAAATGGTATACAGGAATATAAAAGTCATAAGGCAAAGAGGAAGGATATTAGGAAATGAAAAAAAAAACAAGTTTAGAGGGGTAAACAAAATCCCAACACATTTTATAAACCTGCCACAAAAGCAAAAGTAAAAATAATGCAGTACATAACACATTTTCACTGCGTGCCTTACAATAATCTGTTTGAAGCTTGCATGGTTTGAAGCTACATAGAACCTGAAGAGCTCCAGCAGAGCTGTCCAGTAGTTTTAAAGGTCACCTGCATCGGACTGCCATATTATTAATATAATTGATATATTATTCACTCTTATCTCTGTGTTATTGCATACATAGTATAATGAAAATCAGAATTGAAATAGAGTTGGATTAATTGTCAATTAAAAGTAATACAGAAGGCCATAAATTGAACATAGGCAATACTATTTTTTACATTCTAATTTATCGTCCTGTTTTTGAGTCTGTATACATAAAAGCTACAATGATGAATAATACGTCAAATTAGAAGACATGAAAATAAATTACTTCATACTGTATGAGATAGATAAGTGATGAAAAATGTATCCTGGCCTGATTTCTCTTTTAAAAATTGTTTGTTTTTTAAATGTTTTTAGAAGCAATAGTTTTAAACATTTCAATTTTTTTTTCATTAACACAATCATATCATTCCATTATAATAAAATTATAATTTTTCTGGTGTTCCCAGAGAAGCAGGCTCGGATACTAAAACTAGTTCAGTATAGTTTAGAACACATTGTGGCAAAGGTCAATACTTTCTTTACCTCAAAGAAAAGCTAAGACTGAGATAATAGTGACATCTGTCAACAACAGCTCTACACATTCTATGACTTGTTATTCCTAAAGCCTTAGGGTAGTTAGGGACTCAAACCAGTGGCTCTTTAACGTCATTAGCAATTAAGCCCCTCTATATAAGGTAAGCAACATGTCTTTTAGCTCTTGTTTTTTTTGTGTCCTTATACCATTACTCTTTCTCTGAGCTCCAGGGTTTCTTACTGCAGTCAGCAGACCATTCTGTTCCTTGAGATTTTATTTGCAATAGATTGTTATTGAGTAATATTTCAAAAGCATGTTTCATGTTTAAAAGTATCATTTTATATTTAGTTTCAATAGACATTTTGCCTTTTATGCTTTGTTGCAGTCATCATCTATTTTACATGTTTCATTGTGTGACAGTAGTGCAAGTATCACTCTGTGGTACTCTAAAAACACTTTAAAAAATTAAATATATATGTAATGTGTAAACGTAAAAATCAAATGTAAATGTGATTCTGTACTATTCTTTAAACAAAGAGATTACCTGCTTTACATACCAAGACTTTTATTACATGAATTTCAAGCTGAACTCAAACAAGCTGAAGCGATTAAATGTGTGAGGTGTGAAGTGTGTTTGTAGCAGAAGGTGTTCTTCTCCATGTGAGGGAAAAAGGCATGATGTTGTGTTACGCAGAGACAGCTGGTGGGCTCTGGTAAGAGCATTATTGAGGCGATCAACATGAGAAAATGTGGACAGGAGCTGTAAAAAGAATCCTGTTTGTTAAAGACCTGTCTGGCATATGAGACTGGCAACGGCATGGGATAACATAAACAAGGGGCTGCTTTTTCCTTTTCCAGCATAGTGCTGTCCAGAAAATGTAAGTTTCTGGAAGAACCCAAGAATGTGTTTTAATGCAGCGTCTGACATCCTGCTTAACAGACTCTTTAAGCTAGTAAAACAAAACTTTCTTGTGTTGAAGCTCCTGAGTAAGATTTGTATTGCTTTATACTGTCTCTTGTTCTAAAAGTTGTAAGCATGATGGCAGCCACATGGCTTTTTTTAATCTTGTTTAGATATAAACTTGTTTACATATAAACCTCCTTTTCTATTTGGGAACAGTAATGCAAGGGTACATAAATACGTTCAACTACTATACTGAATTTTTTTAATATTCTGAATTTGTCACAGCTTATTCAAAAGTTTGTTCCTTCAAACATTCACAATTTTATTCGGGAAATATTATTTCCTGTTCCCCTTCTTGTGTGGAGAACCTGTGCAGCAGCAAAACTTCTCCCTTAATCTTCAGCAAAAATTGATTTGACGAAACTTTGGAACATCTGGGAAACATTAATAGCATTTACAATGCTTGGTTAAGGTAAGACCCTTAATAATGTTGGAATAATCACATTAAGATGATTATTTGGATATGCCCAAGGTAATTTCAACTTGAGTACTCCAATACCAACATGTTCAAAGCTGACAAGAAAAGGAATTAGGTCATCAGTCAAAATCCTATATTTATTAACATATTTCTTATTGAGAAGTCATAATTGTTTAAGCATTCTGAGAAAATGAACTCTGTTGTGAAAGAAAAATAGGTAAATTGAAAGACATTTAATATTAAACTAATAAGATTACACATCATATTGCACATAATATGTATTGTACTACTATGTATTGTAGTTTAAATGTACCCTTTTTGTAGAATAGCATGTCCTTCAGTCATATATATAAAACATCTGTTATATATTACTTTTAAAATGATACACTAATATGTTTATCACTTAAAAAAAAAAGAAAACTAACAGATACTGTTCAAATCTGTCGTTTTCCTGTAGGTTATGTAATTGTGTTTCTGTTTTCTAAGCATTGAGATTCCACTGCTTTGAATTACAATATATTTTCCTTTTTAGGTTGTGAACAGTGGCAGAACAGTTATTTAAGATGCAGAATTATGGTCATGAAGAGTGGTAGTGATGTCTCTTGGACTGCCAGGCATTACTGCTCATGTAGGGAACCTAATCTGCACTTGGGTTATTTATTGGGTACAAGATGGATATTAATGACATCTGGTGGATGAAAATAGATTTACAGAGTCCTTGAATATGAATTTGTTAAATTATAATCTAGAACTTTCATTTTAAGTAACACATAAAATTCTGGATTATAATTCTAGACTACAGCACCTGTAGACTAGAAAAAAAGGTTATCAGAAATGTTCTTCTCTGCTTCTCTGGATAATTAACATATATATCAATCTTCAAAGACAGTTAAAAATGAAGCAAAATCACACTGCCACAGTGAGAAATTAGCACTTTAGTATTTCATTGCTCCGAAATAGTGTGCTTAAACCAGATTTGTTCAAACAAATCACACATTGCTACCCTAAAGCCTTAGATACAGTATCTTAACTGCAATCGGGAGGTACAATATATATACAGTATGTACACATTGATAAGTGACTAACCCAAAAAGATTTCTGGCTGTAATTGCTGCCCAAAGTGCCTCTACTAATTATTGATTTTATTGGTCTGAATATCAATGCATATTTCAGTTTTTTTTCTCTTTAGGCTTCCATTAGAAGTCTTTAGTTTGAATAGTCCAGTTAAAAATATATGCATCATTTTGTAATTTCACAAAATAGGACAACACTGGAAAGGTCTGAATTCTAATGCAAAGCCCTGTATATAGAAACACACATCACACTACACCAAGACACAGAGGAACTACTAACTGTGGTATTTAAGATTGTCGTCGGCATCACAGAATACCTCTTAGCACTTGATTCAATTACATTGATCACAGTGAAATTACACTAAAAACACATGATCACATTTTCTTTAAGGGAACACTTAGGTTTAATTACTACTGCTACTTTATCAGAACTCTGCAAAGAAAACCAGATTCATGAAGACGATGTTGAAATCCTGGATCAGAGATGTTGTATCCAGATAGCACCAATATTTCTTGAGTATCTGTAACAGTTCTACAAGTGCATACATCTGGTTTGTGAAACACTTTTGCCTTTGCCAGCTTTATATTGTTAGTTATTAGAGGTGTTTGCCCCAGGTGAGTGACTCAGCAGGCACCTAACTGCATTCCCAACTCAGTTACTCAGTCAACCGCACATTCTCAGGAAGGCAACTCCACCCGTTCACAAGCTTTCAGAGACTTCCAGATGAGCAGATGTCTGCATGTGAATACTTTCTGAGCTATATTTTATTAAGGTTACGAGAGGTGGTTAATTTTGACGTACTTGTGTATGAAACATATTTCATGGTAAACATGATGGAACCACAGCATGTTTGCGTCACATACAGGGCCATGTTACTGGTATGTAGGTTTGCACACATACCTATTCTTTTTTTAAAAATGCACACTTATTTCTCGTTTTCAACAAAAAAAGAAAAGGATGCAAAATGGGAGACAAAGGCAGTACTACCTGGAAGTTATTAACTAAGGTTTGGTAGGGATAACGACAAGTCATACATAGCTGTACTGTACCTGATCATCATCGTTACAAATTTAGCTATAAGTATTGTCCCTAGTGAACTGTCTGTAATAGTTCTCTTTGATGTGGCATATGGTTTAGGCCACTGGATTGTCACTATTGAAAATCTTGAGCACCTGCATTGCAGTGTTGTGTCTATAGAAGCCTGTGGTTCAAAGGTGAAGGGAAGTACAGTTCACAGTATAAACACTCTTGAGCTTGTGAACAACAACCACAGATCATTCATTTGAAAACACATGGTTAAAATGGTGTGAATTCCTGTACCATTTACTGTTAATCTGTATTTCTTGTTTTTGCAAATGCAACCAAACAATTGAAATAAAAAATCCAAAGTCTGTGTTGGGACCCTGCCTGTACAGTCATTCCTAGCTTGTCAAGCTGTCCCTTCTTGTACGATCAATGAATTGACTAACAATAATTTAATATTTTAAGATTAGTAGTAATGACTAGAGCTAAATGTATAAAATGTAGATGTTCCCTTAACAAATCAGATTATGTTGCTTAAGTGTTTTCCAGAGAAGTTTCATTATGACACATGCAGAAAGTGGGGAGTTACAGTGGGTACTTGTCCCTTCATGCATCTGATCACTGCTGTCCTACGCTGTTGACATTTTCTGTGTGGCAGATGAGCAGATCCCACAAAGATTTGCATTTAAAATCTTTTATTTATATAAAAAAAAAACATTAATACATTCAGACATTTAAACTACACTGATTACTTTGTTTACAAACTATCCTGAATTCCTGTCAGACAGGCTTTAGCAGGGTTTGTGTTCAGTGATTGGACCAACAATGCCGATATCATGCTGCACTGAGTCTCTTGTATGTGAAACATGCTTTAGGGCACTGAATTGTTGCAGCTGACAGGCTTCATCCTGCCCTCATCACTGATTATCTGCCCAAATATTAACTCAAGAATAACACTGAAAACAAAACAAAAAATAAATCCCACACAAGAGAAGCTGAAGCACAAATTTGACCATGAAGTGTTTTATGCTGCTTAACAGTCTATGACTGTAAGAACAGCATAATTAATAAATTCTGTGAATATGAAGAGTATATCTATCGATTCGATGTTAAAAAGTCACTTAGTCCTGGAAAGAATTGTGTCACCCATAGTCTAATCAGGAAGCACAGAATGTGAGATGGAATTACACCTCAGGAAGAAGAGAACATACAGGCTCCACACAGAACATGCCTCAGTCCAGAATCAAAGGTCCCCAACTCCTCTGAGACTGCAGTACTAACTAAAAGCACCACAGTGCCAGCCCACAAAGGGAATTTATGTACCAGATCAGTTGCACTGATTTAGCAGTGCAAAGAGGTTTATATATTCGCCAGTGCTCTGCAACTGATATACTAATTCTCAAAGATATGCAGATATAAACAGAAAAAAAGTCTTCTTTTCCTGTGATTTATTTTTCTTCCTATTATGGTGCTAGAGTGCTGTATGATGTCAGTGTCAAACAGTGTCTGACTGAGCTGAAAGTAATGATGAAAGTCTGCCCACATGTAACACAGCCCACAAACTCATTTCCCTTCAGTCTCACCAAGTAAAAGCAGAAGTAGGCACACTAATGAAGGAAACAGCAAAATATAACCAGGTGCCCATTCAGCAATGACATTATTATTGTAATTTATAAATGTGTAGTTTCACATTAGTAAAACTGTACACTACTCAAATAAACAAAAAACACAAATCTTTATTATTCATCTTGAAACTGATAGATCAGAACCAATAAATACAAATAATATGAAAGAGCAACAGACTTCGGTCCAGATTCTTCACTGATAAAGAATAAAACTAAAATACAGGAAAATTGTCAGAAATTCTTGTTCCATTATAGGTCTCCTGAAACCACAAGATTCACAGGATCACACAGCTGTTTAAGGAAAACATGCATAAATCAACAGATCTCTCAATAAATAAATACCCACTGAATCAACAGTGTAATTTTCTTACTCTTGAAATAGTAGCAAAAGAAAAGCTTTGTTTTGGTTTGTGTAAACATTTTCTGAAAACCTCTGGTATACATTTTCCTGTGTAGGACTGAGTCATGCTCACTGCAGAATATATATGCTATATATATAAATTATTTTTGTGGACTGTATACATTTTCTCTGAGAGTGTGATAGATCTTAATACTGTATTTAAGTGACAGAACCACCAAATAAGAAACCTTTTTGTTGGCAGTAGACATACATTTACACTTAGCCCTGGTATATCTGCATTATATTTTTTATATGTGGTTTTGACAATGTACGATCAGCTGAATATATTTGATTGCCCTTCTGTACTATATATATACTGCAAACAGACACTTCCTGGCTGACATATCTTTCCTGTCATCCATTAGGCTGAAAGCTATTTACTGCTTCTCATTCTTCAAATCCTACCAGGTTTGCACTTAGTTTGCCTAAATAATAAAAACTGTAATAAGCAAACAAGGAAAATGTAAACGTCCCATCTCACAGGCCATTAAAAATGCAGATACACAGCATCAAGATGACCCATTTTATGTTAAAGGCAGAAGGCACAGCTGAATGTTTAACAAAGTAAGCCAATTACAAGACTGATACAATATCAGAAAGATAAAAAAAAACATTACATACATGCACATACCATGGCACACAGTAATATGCCATTTCATTGCCAACTAAATAAAATGTAAACATTAACAAATGTTAATTCATAACAAAAGATTCATTCATGCATTTAAACAGACAACCATTCACTTCTATTCCCCTTTGTTGCTTTCTTTCTCATAATGGCTTTGAAGTTTATTTTATATAAAATCAAGATAAAAACTGGCATGAAAAGCAGTGTGTAATGGACAAGTGAATGTTACCTAGAAAATATTCTGCTCCAAATACATTGGAAAAAAACCCTGCACTCTATTAATCAACTGGTTTAATATACAGCACAAGTATTTTCCACTTCATTGTAAAATGCTTAATGTGATTCCTTGCATAAAATAATGTAAAACAAGTAAGAACCCTGGATGCATCAGTTACAATGTAAATTAATTCAATACAGTACTAATTATCGCAAGTTATTGCATATTTTAAATATTTAACTGTTGAAATATGGAACACAGACCAAAGCAAAAAAAGTGTAGTTCACTATCACATTTCCAAGATGAAATGGAGTCCTATCAATTAAATTCAATTGGTATTTTACCACACCCACTAGTAACCAGCATTAGAGACAAAAACATTTTTAGGCAACATATATATGCACAGAAGTCACACACTGGTCTACCTAAAATCTTCCTCATTCATCTGAAAATTATATCTCATCTCTTCGCTGATCCATAGTCTCCGAAGCGTTTTTTTCAGATTGGAGTCACAATTTAAGATACAAAGCAGCTGAAATTATTTCAAAAGATTAGAACAGTGTCTAAAGATAAAGAGTAAATAAGATTAAACTGACAGACGGTATTCCATACAATGCAGTAACGCTTTTGTGTTCAAATCATCAAAACTAATGACGGTAGAAATAATTCAGCCATAAATGAACTAAACCTGTCTGGCACAGTCTTTATAGTGATGTTCAGAATCCAGGTTACACTTGCTCATTCACTGTCTTCCCAGCATTCTATACTAAACATGAACAAAAGAGGACAGAAGAGACAGCAATATAGTCTTAAATCCATTTCATGCACTTCATGTCATTTTCCAGTTACTGTACACACCATTGGTGCAAGGATTCAGCCAAGGTTTGCTACAGGAAAGATTAGAATCCTTCTCACATCTCACAAAGGCATCCTTGTCTTTTAATTTTGTATGCTGTGAAACAGTTTTTTATCTCTCGTAATCTGTAGAAAACTTTTAAAAAATCAGACTCTTGAAGAATCACTTTGCTGTGTGGTAGGAGGAAAAAAACACTTATCTTGTCCAATCTCTATATTGCACTTCTCCACACTAGACAGGATACAATAACTCATCTGAAACAGTTCCTCTGCTTTTTAAAACAAGAAAATATCCACTTGAGGATACACAGCATCATGCTAAGTGAACCCCATTCTGCATATCAAATTCTAATGCTATCCAAAGATTGTACTCTTGAGAATCATTCACATTCTGCTGGTGTTCTCAGAAGGTTTCTGACTGAAAATGCAAGCTGGGTCCACCTCATGCTTATTACTTAAGATGCTATGGGTATATACAGTACTGTAGTTCAACCCATACAATGATCAAGAGAAAAAGTATTTCCAGGAAGCTAAAGCACCAAATGAAACGGGAGTAAAATATTTATCCTGTTATACACGTCTTGCTTGTTAAATCTGGCCATTTTTAATATGGTTTCAACAGTCAAACAGAAAAGGGACATGATATAGTATAGCATTAGTCCTCCAGAGTGATAGATGACATGAGGTGCGAATTAGGTAGCTACAAGCTAGATGGAAGATGGAACAGCCTCCATAGTTTTTTTTCCCCAACCATAGACCACAAAGAGTAATTTTATCCATTTCCAAAGAAGCAGACTTCAAGTTCATAAATGAAGCAAAGAGTTTCTTCATCCATATCCAGAGTGTCGGTCATGTATTATAAACTATTGAAGCTCTTTTGGCAACAGTCTCTTCGCTACCACCGGACACTTTCTGGCCATTTTCCTTCAGGAAGATGTCAGACCGAAGGAAACGTTTGTAGCTGTCAAATTTCATGAGGTTAAAAATCTGGAACAGACAACAAAAAAATATTTTAAAGGTTTATCATGGTACATTCCCCATTCAGTTTTTGTCTGAGTTGAAACAAATTGTTTTAAGTGAAAATCGCTGCAATACTATGTCCAATTTTGTTTGTTACACTTCTGAAATGAATGCAGCACCATGGTTCTTGTATCAATAGTCTTTAAGATATAAGGTTGACTTTAAAGCTTCACTAGTTGCCTACAAGGCTGTGTTCTATGCACATGTGATATAAGGCTACATCAGGCCTGTCAAAACAAGACCTTTATTCTGTGAATCAACACACTGGAATTCATCGCTTTAAACCACAGGGCATTGAAAGACTTATTGTTTTCTTCTGCTGGAAAACTATCAGTGCTTTCAAAAAAATTACAATTATACAATCCTTCAAGATCACACTAGTGGTGTTATTAATATAATTTGCCTAAATCAAAGTGATCAACTTTGTTTGTGCTATTCCAGGAAGAGCTACAAAAGAGTATTAATAGAGAAAAAAATATCTGAAGGCTTACCATATTTAGAAATACTGAAAACATTGGTTCTGAAGCTCCAACAAATTCAACCAATACTTCTAATTATTATTGTAAAAGTGAACCTTTAAATCATAGTGAGCACTAGTTTTTATTCCAGTATAACTGCAGTGATTTGACAAATAGTATTCCTGACAAATAACAATAATACAGGGGTGCATCTGAAATAGGCCTAAAGTTTTGGGTTGTTGATGCACACTGATAGTATCAAATACAAATAGGACTAAATGATTCCCACCAGCTACTTTTAATATAAAGTTAAGACAAATCGTAAGACAATAAAATGTCTTGCACCTGTACGTAAAAAGGAAACTATCTGTCACAGACACAGTCTATACCAAGTCCTGCTTGCAACTTAGTCCTGCTTCAAGCATTCCATATTAATATTCTATGTTACATGTCAAAATGCAGATTAACTGACTGCATTTCTTGTGTTTGCTTAGGCAGTATAGTCTGTATATCTTCAGATAAGAGGTTCACAAAGGTTTTTTAACTGTAGTAGTCAAATGTAAAGTGTAAACTTAAAACATTTTTATGCTAAAAAAACAATGCCCTGTATATACAGTACATAAGTATTTTAAAATGTGATGCTTCATGAAAACAGCATAACCTTGGATATTTAGAGACATTTCACTTAATTGAATTAATCACTAAATTGAATCTTGTAAAATGCATGCCTTTAATGAAAGAATGTATTTTATCTATTTGTTTAATCCTTTAAAAGGGCTACAATGAAAAGTAATAAGCCTCTGTGCAGTATCTTTGATTATAAATGTTCTATAGTGGTTAAGAATATTTCCAAATCATGCTCATTAAGTATACCAGCAGCATAGTGTACCTTAAAAAAAAAACAAAAAAGAGAACCCTATTAGTGACACTTGAAATAGCAATATGGGAACTCGCTCAAAATATGGTCACTCCAAGCTGCAGCACAGGTCTAACAAACACACAACATACTACCAATCAAGAGAGAGTGATCACATCTTAGGGAGCTCCTATCTGCTTTCCTCTTAAGGCACAGACCTGGTGGGGGAAGATTCTGGGAGGGAGCTACCTTGATGCAATTGATTTACTAAGAATATCATAAATATATTCAGTGGTGCTGAAATCAAGCCCCCTTACAGGCCATTCATTCCAGGAGATCTCTTTGTTTCAAAGGAAATCATCAACCATTAAAGCACAGTTCAAATCAGCAATTGATGCTAACAGATATGGTTCGGTCAGGAGTTAGTCCTGCATGTAAAAGCTGTTAGACTACCACATTTAAAGCTAGATTTTAGGTATGCAGCCTTCCTGAGACAATGAACACCCTCAGATTTTTAGTATAGTTCATTGTTTCCAAATAGATTCACTCTTTTTCCCCTAAGTTTCAAGTCCGTTCTTTTATTTTTAAAACAAAGCAAAAGGAGGAAACTGAAGTTCTTGTTTTCAGCCAGATTCAGAGGTATTGTGAAATTCTTTTTCAAGCACAACCTTTGTTAAGTTACAGCAGCAAGAACTTCAAACTCTCCACTTCCCATACATGTGCCCAAGAGATCCCCAGACTCGGAAAAAAACACACTCAAACATATTCAAAAAAGGCAAAGTGAGTCTCGGTGCTTTCGAACCAAAGATCATCAAATAAAATGTAGAGTAATTTCTAGATTTTGTAACAAGCATTTCAAAACACTGCGCAGGCTCATGTGTCAGTGGGGCAATGGTGGGGATTTGGAAAGGTCTTGCTCCTCCTGTTACAATATTCTGGTTTTATTTTGGGGATTCTTGACTTGAAACTCTGGGGGGGGGGGTCAGGGTGTAAAGATGTTTCTATTTTTATAAAGCTCAAAACTCAGTACCTTTGGGTGAAAAGTACAAATGTGTTTGCAAAAAATATTTCATATAGGAAAAGCACATAGAGGGTTGCTGTTAAAACACTGTTCAGATACACGGGATTTTGCAATTCCACCCAGTTCTTTAAAATCCATCAACCCAGTTTTCTAACTGCTTCATGTCCCAACTGAGGGACACAGAGTAGCTGGAGCCTATCCCAGCAAGCACTGAGCGAAAGGCAGGACCCGTCCTTGACGGGACACCAGTCCATCTCAGGGCACACACAGACACAGACGTGCACACACTCAAACCAAGGCTGGTACTTAAAATAATTTGTTAAAAGATTTTGTCTATATTTATAGTATAGTATATACCCATGCAAGAGAAATATTGAGATATATCTGTAACTTCACAAAATGAGAAACAGTCAATTAAATCAATTCTGAATATTTATATGCGAAAGAAATTGATGTGGCACTAAATATTCTAACACCTTTGTTCATTTATTTGATTTAAGTAGCAACTGGGCTCCCTTACCTGTTCCTGCAACTTTTCGAACATCAGTGGGTGTGCCTGATCCAGCATGCTCTCATTTAGCTTGGACTGTCCTTCCACGTTCACCTGGGTAGTGGATGTGCTGGACAGATAGGTGGCGTAGATATATTTGGCTTTATCCCTGAGCTGAATTTATGATACAAAGAAAAATAAGAAATGGTTTCACAAAACAGGCCTGACTTGGATCAGCCATACAGGAGATTAGAGAAACTAAGTTGAGTAAGCATGGAACAATTTATCAAAAGTACTCTCCTATGTAGATGTTTTGTCATCCTATTTTTATAATTATACTAATAATTAATAATAATTCCTTACACTTATATAGTTATACACTTATATCCTTATACACTTATTATATGCTTTGACACTCCACTCAAAGCATGTTACAGGTAATGGTGTCTCCCCTCCACCAACACCAATGTGCAGCATCCACCTAGATGATGCAATGGCAGGCATGGTGCACCTGAACGCTCACCACACTGCAGCTATCAGTGGGGAGGAGAACAGATTGATGAAGCCAATTCATAGATGGATATTATTAGGAGGCTGACTGGTAAAGGCCAATGGGAAATTTGGCCAGGACACCAGAGTATCACCCCTACACTTTTCGAGAAACGCCCTGGGAATTTTAATGACCGCAAAGAGTAAAAGTCTCATCTGAAGGACGGCACCATTTTACAATATAGTGTCCCTGTCACTATATTGGGGCATAAGGACACACATAGGCTGAAGGGTGAGTACTACTGGCCCCTCTAATACCTCTTCCAGCAGCAACCTTAGCTTTTCCCAGTAGGTCTCCCATCCACTGACCAGGCTCACACCTGTTTATCTTAAGTGGGTTGCCAGTTGTGAGCTGCGGGATGATATGGCTGATATGGCTATTTTTATAAACTTTACTGTTTTCTTTTTTTATTATAGATGTGAGCACAATTATAGAGAAGGCAGAACTGAAAGAAGTGTCTGAAAAGTGGGCTTGAGATCCTAAGTTTTTTTTAAATGAAAACATATGAAAACCAGACACATCTTAAAATGGAAAGTCAGTATGCAAGCAACATTCACATGTGTAGACCAGAGCTACTCTGCTGTCTAGATCTTTGCACGTGGAATCAATGATTGTGCCACGAAATACTAACCCAAATTTCAAACAGCCGGGTGGAAAACAGCAGCCAGTACAGAAATACAGTATATATATGAAGTATATTTAATTTAATACAAAATATTTAAAAATAAGCACCAGAGTATCAGCCTCTTCAGTCCTCTTGCACTTAACCACATGTTACCTTGCAGCAATAGCAGATTTCTTCTACCAAACCTCAGAGAAATACAGTAAATAACTGTAGTTATAGAGACATGAGATTAATATCATGATTAGACCCTTCCTTTGAGTAAATGTCACTTGGTTATGGTTAAATGTGGATGATTTTATGCACTTTCACTGAGCAAGCCTTGATTTTCTAGGGAACGGAAAGTTATAACAATGTATATTCTTTGTTGTACAGCAATAAAGAAGGGAATACATATATTTTGTTCTTCGCCACTTTGTATTTTAGGATTGTTAGACTTAATGAGGCTCTAAGGTACATAATGTACAAGCATTGCCAGATATGTTTTTCTTTTACATCTACTAGAACTTACAATAGCCCTATCAATTCTTCCCTAGACCCCATATTTTGGATTCAAGTGCAAAACTGAAGCTGTACCTTCTGCATGTCCTGGATCTTCTTAAACTCTTCACAAGCTAACCAAAACAAAACATTTTCTTCACTAAATTCTTTCTTCAGAAATTCCTGCAAAGCAAACAGCAATGCTGTTAAAGTTAGGAAATGAACTAAAAATTGAAAAAATCTCTGAAGTAGTGATTCTTTGTACTGATACAAAGAAAGTTTTGGTAAAAAGTAGTGATTTCTTTTCCTGAAATCGGTCCCTTGTCTTGAAATACCCATTACTGCAAAGAGAATTGCATGATGTAAAAAAAAAACTTGTTTTCCTATCTCCTGGACAACCATGCAATGAAAAAAAAATATTCCCAGACTACAGTAACAAAAGTTAGGTTTTGTTCTTTCTGCACTTTAACTGATTAATTCCTAAAAGAAAAGCAAATTTCTGAAAATAAAATCAGATTGCATGCACATTAGAAAAACAAGGAATCTATAATACAGTGCTCAAAAACATACCAAAACCTAAATTAGTATATTTCATTCATTCTTGGATGAAATACTGAAACAGGCTGAGAAAGCAGTAAGTTAAAGTAAAAGCACAAGCACAGAACATACTTATTTATACTGTAGTTGTTTTTTACTTTATCTCAATCCACTGGAAGATTCCTATTCTTTGTCAAAAAGAAGAGATGAGTTCAGATGATATCTCTATTGTAGCTATTTAAGATATGATGCCAAGGTAAGAGGTACTTGTCAATCACCATTTAGTGTTGCATCAAGAAGGGTATAAGAACTAATGTGTAGCCAAAGTGCAGGAAAAATCTGACACATCGTAAAGTATGTTCCCATAGTCTAAATGTTTCAGCCAAGTTCTTCAAACGTTTTCTGTTGAAAACTGAGCAGATATTTGAAAATGACATAGAGAATCTTTCCAAATGGTGACAAATTAGATAAAAGCTATACACACAACACACAAGAAAGGAAATCTCGTTTACTCACTCGAAATTTCCTGACCCCCTCCGGGTCCTCTAGCAGGTTTTCTAATGAAATAGACCACTTCACTGCTCCTGTCACACACTGCTGACTTGTGCTGGCAAAAACATTGATATCTTGGATCTCTGAAAGAATGAATAGGAGATAAGACACTGCAGAGCGCACAGGGGGGTACCACGGGAAATGAGATGCGGCTATGTGAAACAGCAAACATTAATAGGACATCTGCCCAGTCAGCCTTGCTGGAACCTCAGTATCCCCTAAGCTGTAAAGTAGTCACTTCAGTTTTTTCTGAATACGTGATATCGGTTTTACTTCCATGTAAAGATAGACCTTCTGCAAGTCTGTCAGATTTTATTACGTGTTCAGATGGGCATTAAAGCCTGCAACAGCTTTTATTATTTGAAGGATTACAGAAAAAATGCACAAAAACCTCTTCACATTAGATTAGGAGACCTTTATTTTCCCAAATTTGGGAAATTCATTTGGCAATATTGCTTCACGACCTTCGCCAATAAAAAGAAAAACACACACACACACGCGCAAGTACAGAAAAATAAAATAAATACAACATGAAATGCTATGAGATGCATCATACAATACTACGGTGCTTCAGTGCATTTTAACAATTATAGGATTGTAAATGTGACTGAAATGCTCATTTGACAGTGTTATTGTACATTATTATGGTTGCAGGAATAAAAGAGCTTTCATGTCTGTTGGTGTTTATTTTGTGTTGCAAACAACATCTACTCCCCCTTCTGTTATATCTACACAGCCTGCTATAAAAGGGGTGACTTACATCTTTCATTATCTGTTTAGTCTTTTCCTTCATAACATTTTTAGAAAGCTCAAAAGCTGTCATTTGCCTTTTGCCAATACTTCCAGTTTATTCCAACCTCTAATTCACATATTATCACATAAACAAATGAGGTAAAAGAGGAGAACCACACTGCTGTAAAACAGAGTAATCAAAGTGCAGCCATTACACTGCAAGTTCTCAAGTCAAACATGGACGCAAGTCAACAGCTACAAGTGACGACGACCACAAGCAATGGCTACAACAATGGTGGAGATACTGAAGATCTCCACTTAGTTATTAGTGTGAGGTTTATGTATCCAGGAGCACTATGTTCTGGTTCTCTGGATAAGCTAGTCGCAGAAAGAATTTACAGCTTGTCAACACCCGGGTGACAAACTCTCCAGTGGGTTTAAAGTCAGTTCCTCCAAGTGGAACCAGGAAGTCAAAGACTGTCATTGTAACCGTCATATTCTCCTATTGAGTCGTGGAGTGCTCTCAGACATCATGCCAGTACAGTCAAAAGTGAAACCCAGCTTGGGAAAGGCTCCAAAAAGCCCTCTCAGACCCTTCTAGAGTTCTGTATTAGAAGAATTCAAACTTTTATTTTTATTATTTCTATCTTCTATTCGTAATTTATCACATTTAAGCATGGTGAATCTGACCCTCAAACACAACTTGTTTAAAACCACTTTAACAGCTTTTGGTGCAACCCATCACAAAGTACTGCAGCATGTGACTATATTGTGTATGAAAGCTGAACGTTAGTCATATAATAGACCACAGTACTGAAAAAAGTGCAAATATTTATGCCTAAATGAAAAAAGTCTCACAAGCAACTACAGTACGGTGCATGATGATAAAATATAACAAGAGCACAAGTATAAAAAAAGAAAAATCAAACATGACTAATTAAAAAAAATAATCAACAGTGAATTACTGTTAAATCTAAAGTATTTAGGTTTAACACCTTTCACTTCAAAATGTAAGACCTTAATGAAGTTAAAAACAATAACATCTAACAACACAGTTATTTCAATTAAAAGGTGACTTACATATATTTATTGGTGAAGCTCTAATTTTGCTTCCTCACCAATACGGTACGTGTCTTGTAATCATTTCTCTAAATCTGACCATGGCGTTTGAGAATTACACCCAAATTAATCATCACTGAATGCATTTTCACACTCCTAATAGAGATCTGTTTACGTATCTGACCACATATAAAAATTACATAGATACTGCGCTGTTACTGGAGGGAACATGTTGGAAAAGCCACTTAATATGCAAAGAATTAAATTATAAATCAACACCAGGAAAACGCATGTACTGGTGTACGTACTGTATCTGCATTGAGGGTGACATACTGTACATATATGAAGCAACAGTACAAAGGAACACGTAAAGGGTTATTCCATGCTGAAAAGAGAAGAAAAGAAACACAACGTTTCGGCTGTGGAGCTTAAGTAGCTATACATTTAAACGGTATGAAGCATGTGAAAGTATTTTATTACATATTGTAATAAACGTTCCAGATGTAGAGACTTCTTAAGTACAAACGATACAAGTCGGCGTTATGCACCATTCATTTAAACAGAATTTGTGAAGAGCATGAGGATAAAAAAACTACATTATGCAGTATCTACTTTTCAGATCGATTTTTTTTGGATTTATTGGTTTGGCTGTTGATATTTAAATATATTCCTCCCCCCAAACGCAAAAGAGCTACCCAGATCCTGATTAGCATTAGTTTTGTATCAGTTTGCCTAAATTTACACCAGTCCCAAATCAGTGCTAGTGTTAAACCAGACACAAAACTAGCCTTTGTGTAGTTTTTGGTTGCAGGAATTGACTTTCAAGTGTACGGCACATGCAGTTTGTTAACGGTAAAAAAGAAACACTAGATGGAAGTTTAACGCGATAACATCAACGGGGTATGTTTTTGGTTTAAATGTACAGTGAGATTTTCTCAATTTAGTTTTTGAAGATTTACCTGAAGGCGGTCTCTTCCTGCTCAAACGGTTAACAGCCCTATTAAACATCCTCCTCTGGCAACAGGGACAACGCTGCGTCTCTCCAGCCACCTTCTCAAATTCTGATGTTGCTTTTTGAAAGCCTCTTCCTTTTTCTCTCCCCGGCAGCAGCAGTTTTCTCTGACGCATGTTGGGTGCACATCCTCTTCTCGAGAGCTCAGCAGACGAATTTCAACCGCTGGTTTTCCTGTTCTGAGGTCAGGACAAATACAGAAAGTTTGAACCCACCCGCATTTGTTTTTCGTTGACAAACCAAGACTCCCAGCTAACAGGAACCCCTCCTGTCTTTAATAAAACTACACCAAACACAAGCAAAAGCGTGAAGAAAAAAAAAACCCATGAAATGTATTACTCGATCGTCATCTACTCACTGCTTTCTGACGTAAAAATGTTCAACTGTACGTCATAGATACTAGTTCTTCATTTCTGTTCTGTTAACTTGCAAAACAAACACGTTTATTTGTTTCCTAGGCGCTAGCAAGTGTGTGCTTTAAGAAAACCAAAACACTTGTAAGAAGGGAAAAAAGGGAAATGTTGTAGAGGGTTAAGTCTTAAGATTTTAAATCTTAAACATACAGGAGCAGCTGTAAATGGAAAATGTGCTTATCACAAAAGCTTGTCTTTGGGATATCTCTGACACGCTTCTTGGCATTATTTACAGAATATTAGAAAATTCACTCATAATATTTTGGAGTGCTGTATGCCTCAAACACCCTGTCAAGGGGAGCCTTGTTCAAACCAGTTCCTGAAGTGATGGGGGTTTCTTCAGGGTTTTGTTATCATAAGGCTATGTGTAGGTAAACCTTAAATATACATTTTCTGGTATAATAATGCTCAGCAGAAGACGATTACTACTCAGAGGACATACTGTAAATTACAGCACTGGGCATTCTGCAGCCTTGCACATACTCCTTTGCTTTGGTTGCATGTCATTCTCTACACTGTAAAAGTTGTGCCTCTTGTGACAGAGTGATTGGAGTCAGCCAGGTTGACTATGTGCCATTAGAATGGATGAGAATGTGTAAGGTGTGCTAAAGGCTCAAGAAAACAAAAATGGGTTCTCATGGAACTTTAAAAGTGAACTTTCATTTAGTGTTGAGAGAGGAATAGTGGAAAAGACCGTATTTTGCATTTCCTTAAAGAGACAGGGGCTAGCTTGGAAAGTTCCAAGCCCCTACAGCCAAATGGTGCTTGGATACTACTGTATAGCAGTAGAGATATGTGTTCCTCACAGGCAAGAGAAATCATACCTCCTTGCTCATGGGTGACAGCATGTGAGGAACAGGAAAGGATAGTCATGTGCAATAGGCCTTATCTGACAGGGTCACATCAGGTCAAATTTAATGTTACTGCTGTGGTGTCAATGCCAGCCTCCCACATCAACACTACTACGGTTTGTGTAATGTAATTCCACTGAGTCAAATTCCAGGATGAAGACAGAAAACTGACGGCTGTCCATAAAGAAACCTGTTTATGTGCACAAAGAAAAAAAAGCTAGAGTTCTGAAACAGACCTTTTAGAGATTATAATTCTCTGCCTTAGGACATAGACTCCCATCTTTGTTGTCTGATTGTACAGGGGGCATTCATTGTAGCAAATCAGATGTTTTCTGTGAAGAGCAGATACGAAATATGAACAGTTTAGCAGTGAAACTGGGGTACCTAAACTGGGATATGTTCTGTACTGGACTCATGGAGGACATTAATGAATGACATGAAAATGTAGGGGAGGCCAGGACTTGAGATTTCCAGCTGGTGTCCTAGCCAGTTACTTAAATATCTTGTGCATACTGCATTAAATATCTAAATCATAACACAAGTAATACAAATAATATACTACCCAGCTCTTTAGAAATTATAGATTTAGATTATAGATTGTATAGAAAAAATCTATACAATGTTAGAGCATTAAACATTTGTCCCATAAGATTAGAATAAAGATAGTAGTCATTGTAATATATTAATTTTATCACCTTATTTCCTGACGTTGCCAGTGTTTTGGCATGGACTGCAGAAAAATATCAATTTTGTTATCATAATAGAGTTACAAGATGTTAACTTCTCCCATTCTTTATCATCCAAATGCAACAATTTACTTAACTGAACATACTTTACTTAAGGAACAAGTAATAGGTTTATTCCATGCTGAAAAAAAGAAGAAAGAGAACACAACGTTTCGTCCGTAGAGCCTTCTTCACACCTGAAGAAGGCTCCACGGCCGAAACGTTGTGTTCTCTTTCTTCTTTTTTTCATCATGGAATAAACCTATTACTTGTTCCTTTGCAGCCTACGCATGCTGACGCAGCTACCCACCTGAACTACATACTTTACTTAATTTGACAATGAGCTTCTACAAATAGAGATCTGAGTTTTTAATAAATCACTTACTGAAAAATGTATTATACCATGTGCATTTAATTGTACCTGGTAAAACTCATGACTAATAATTTAAAATAAATCTCAGGCAGTATATAAACAGCATTAATACTTGTTTTAGTGTGAGTCTTAAAACAGGTGTCCTAACAAAATTAGGTTTATTAAAAAATTAAGTATATTATGTACATATACAAAATTCAATATATATCAGTTAACTTACAAATAATAGAAATTAAAGAATGGGAAAGATATTTTGGTCACTAACATGCCAAGATAGAACTGAAAACTACTTTTGTGTGTCTTCCTGGTGGACATGATAAAATGCTTACAGATAATACAAGCAGTCTATGACATAATATACAGCTATTACAATTTGTGCAATATTGTGAATCAGTATATTTCCATTTTAACACATAATGAAGTTTTCAGTCTGTTTACAAAATCTTGAAAACTAGTTTTAAAGAAATAATGGTACAAACTATCCACCTGTTAGAGAAAGTCTTAATACTTTATAGAGAAACTTGTGTTACTGTATGTTCTGAGAAGTTCTAAGTAAACATTGTTTTCAAAGGAAACAAAAAAGAGGAACAAACAATGACAAACGACTTTAAAAATCTGCCAGTAGACAAAACAGGGATCCATCTGTGTCATAGCGAAAAATTAGAGGGTGACTGGTAGTGATTGAGCAAGAGTCTCACATTTTGTTTTTTATTTCAAACAACAGTGCAAATTATATCTGCAGTTTTTACAGGAACTTCTTTTTGATACCATGGTTTTTTAACTGTAACATTTTCCAATACATCTAACTTTTTACAATATGATGTATGCATACGTAAAGCACAGTGTAAAATAATTAATCCTTTTTGCAGTTGTCACTTTTTTTTACTTTAAAGCTTGCAGTCATGACACTTTGAAGCAGCAATTCACTCCACACATTCAAAGTAAAAACAAAAATAAAGAAGAAAATAGATCATTAAAATGAAACTAAAACAGAAAAGAAATGATAGTATTCAAACACTTTTCTGCGGCAAACCTAAATAAATTGACCAAAACCAAACCATAGAGTAACATCAACATTATTTCAGAATAAATATGCTTATGTCCGTACAGTCCCTCAGTCAGTTAATACATTTCAAGTAATGATCTTTGATTTGAAATGGTGAAGTTGACCATTAAGAAGTGAAAGGTAAAAAGATGCTGCCTAGATCAGGCTGTCCCTGCAAAACAAGAAACCAGGAAAGGAGGAAACTGGTTAGGGATACCACCGTGAGGCCAACAGTGACTTTGAAAGAGGTACAGAGAAGAGCAAATGGCTGAATTTGAGGTAAGAGAATGTGTCCGTGCATCAACAATATCCTAGTCACTTCACAAAGGACAATGTATGGAACTGAAAAAAAACCATTTCAAATCCAGCATGGGGTTTGTAATCTAGAACCTAAGTCTTGGTGCAAACATCATAGAAGATTTTGTGGTCAGACAGGACAAAATTGAAACTTTTTTGTCTAAATGCAAGTTCACGAGGAATGACAGCAGCAGAAAGCTTGGGAGAAATTAGAATCGTTTATTGGGATGTGGAGATTTGGCGTAACCCGCTTGGCTGAGGGCCAACCTCCCGGCTGTTGGACGGGGAGGATAGGACCCCCATGCGACCAATTGGGTAGCTGAAAAGGTGGGGAGGGGGTGGAGGAGGGATGCAGAAAACGAACGAGAAAGAGGAGAGGGTGACGTTTGATATAAATGGAGACTGGTTGATTACGTCAGGATTAGTGAGAATTGCGGCAGCTGTGTCGATTGAGCGCGGCTGCCTTCATTCCTCCCGAACTTTCATTAAAAACTCCATTTCACTAGGAATGACAGCTGGCGAAAGCTTTGGAGAAATTATAATCGTTTATTGGGATGTGGAGATTTGGCGTAACCCGCTTGGCTGAGGGCCAACCTCCCGGCCGTTGGACGGGGAGGATAGGACCCCCAAAAGAACCAAGCGGTACCCCCAGTCACCAGTGCAGAAAAAACAAAAACAAAAGATTATTGGACTAATTCAGCCGAGGAGAAAAAGTGCCTGCTTGAGGATACTAGGGTTAGTTTAAATGTACTGTATGCATGGTAAGCCTCAGAGGATCAACGGCCGAGTTGCTTGATGAGATACTCGGGTATGCCGTGGCGTGCGGCGGAGGATGCAGCCCCTGATCTAAAGGAGTGCCCAGAGAATTTTTCAGGAGGGTATCACGATACGGCCCTCCTCGTTTACGAACAGAGGGTCAATAGGCAAAGCTCCGGCAGAGGTGCAAAGATGTGCGTAATGGGATAGAGGCTCATAAGGGCTTATGTAGGAACAGAGTTTGAAATGATAGATGAGAGTGGCGGACCCGAGTTGGTCGTTTTGCTTTTCTTGAGATAGAAGGTCAGTGTATCGGAAGATAAAATGGAGATGTCAGAGAAGCAGGGTTGAGAAGAAGGATCGAAGGATGTGGAAGCAGGGGTAATTTCAGAGCACCTTAGGAAGACGAAGAAGGCTAACAAGAATAAAGATTCAAGAGTGCAGTCGACCCAGGGTGAGTGGTAACCCGATCTGAGAACGTGGATGCAGGATTCAAGGATGTCTGAGGTAAGTGGTGCGCGTTGGTTCGGAAGTGGTTTTTCAAGCCGCTGAAAGCCTTTAAGAAGGCAAGTAATTTGAGGGTGGATAAGGGATGGACAGATCATGCTGAAAAAGAGTTTGTGGAAGAAGTGGATGCCACACAGGTATACTTTGGTGGTGGATGCTCGTACCTTGAGTGAGTTTCTACAATAGCAAACGAAGGATGATACGGTGAAAATATCGAAAGAAGGGAATTTTATGTTCGCGGAGAGGTGGAAGGATTGGAAGCCCTTCCAGGCAGTCCAGTAAGAATTGAGAGTTCGAGGGGAAATCCCTAAGAG